TTTAAATATTATAATATCATTAAATTTAGAGTTTTTGCTGAAGCTGCTTTTTACGCATGAATTTAAAATGCGGTCAATTTACTGATAAATATATAGCTTTGATTTGCAATTTAACACATGTATGTAAATTGATAAAGTTATATCAAACAAAATTTAAACTTGTGTGCATTATTTTTTGTACGTGTCAAAAGTCATCGGACAAAATAATCTTTTTTATATAATTATGATTCAAATATCAATATATGAAAATATGAAATTGAGAGCCTAAATTTCGAGATTTAAAATTAATACTTAATTATTCAATTACTATTAAATAATCAACAATATTGTATAAAGAAGGTGTATTGTACATTTAACTTGTGACGCTTCCTATTTTTGTATTAGTCTTGCGGCGGAATAAGCCTGATTAGATCCTCTAAAAATAGTTAGAGCGTTTACGGATTTAATGTATACAACAGTATTTCTAAGGTCGTTATCCTACGCACGTTTTTTATATTAGCAACCAAAATTCTTTAATTTGATATATATTCTTTAATTGAATATAGCTTACGCAACATCATTTATTTTTTATAAAGCAATTGATTTTTATACAAGCTTTACTACATTAAAAAAAATAGTTCTGATCAGTATTTATTCATTTATTTATTCATAAGCAAGCCGTAATCAATAATAATAGATATTATTTCAGGCTTTTGTCATGCTTATTCATAATTAATATTAAAATGATAGTAATTTTATAATAATCATAGTAGCTGCACGAATTTCGCTTCTGAAAAAAAAGAGCTGAAAAAAAGCGTTCGAACATTAAATATAATGTTCATTCATTATCATGGCTTATAGATTGTTTTTCTTATTGCTATTTAATTATTGTATCTTTGGCAACATCTCTTGTTTCAAATAAATATTTAAAATTGAGTTTCAATAAGAATAAAATGAAATGAAAATATATGTTGTGAAGTAAATCTTTTCAAGTCTTAACCTTTTAGTTTTCACTATGAGCAAATAAACCGCCCAAGTACACAAAATATTTTAAGATTTTCCAATCCCTATCGATAAAAATGTATTAAAAATTATACTTCTAACAAACTAAAAACCACAATAACAAATTAGAATCCTCAAAAATTAATTCAGAGTGTTAAATAATGAAGCAACATGTGTCACACTGTATGTAGTCTATAGAACATCGATCGAAATTGTTTCCATTTTTGTTCGTTATTTTGGCTAATATTTACAAAAAATTAAATAATATAGAAGAAATTATTTTAGCATTACTGAAAATGCTCCTAAATTTGTAGCTAATGGAGTGGTTCACGCACCTAAACAAATTTTTGCAATGTTATGATCGGCACTATGAAAATAAAAACAACTAATATAATTGCGTCAATGAGTTAGCGTGTGTTATACTAATAATTTATAAATAAAAAACATTTATAAATTATTCAATATAATATTCGTGACATAATATCGATCGTGACCATTGAATAATATTGCAAGATAAGTTCTTTAATTGTATAATGAGCTGTTAAAAAGCTTTAAATCAAGCATTGTATTTTATATCCATATATTTATTTACATGCTTTGTAACAATGTAGAGGTGTTCCAAAATATTATCGTGATAGCAAGAATGTTAAACAAATTTTGAACATTGCACATTTTTTTCGCGAAGGCTTACATAAATCGTATCGATTTTTTCAGGAAAATACTTATAAACAAAAGAATATATCTTTATAAATAACAATTCAAAGTCAACAAAAATTATATAATATTTCATAAAATTCAAATTAGCACGGCTAGTTAACTCATACAGCACTTGTATAAACACATATGTTTGGCACATGCTGATAATATTATTTAAACAAATGTACGTTATATTTATCAGATGTAGCAAAATTGTGTTTTTACTCTATTTTTAATGCTAATTCTAAAAAGTTTGAATATTTATTATTTTCGACGTGAATTAGAATAAAATCAAGGTGACAAACAAATGCTTAGTAATTATATTGAAAAATTATTATTTGACAAATTATTGACTACACAATCAAGTAATCGTTTGAATTATATTCTTGTTTTTATCGTTAGTCTTTAATAATTTATTTTATGCAGTAATGGCTTAATAAAAAAAACAATTTTTTATACATTTGATTACACGAAAGTATCCTTCATCCTTTATAGCATTTTACCATTGTGTCTATGCAATATATTTTTAAAGATTTTCCAACAACATTCAATATTTTTAATATTAGTTGTTTAAGATAGATATGTTGAAACGAATTATGTCCAGATAAAATTTTATTTTTGTAAATATTTTTTATTGGTACGTTAATATGTTGATCTATGCTAGATTTTACTATATTTATAGTAATTTTCCTTCTGTACTAATATTATTCTAGTACTTTCTGGGGCAAAAAGTGCTAAAAACGGTAACTCAGTTTTTAAGAGAACGGAGCGTCCGATTAGAATAATTCAAAAAACATTTTACTTGTATTGACAAGATGAAAAACTGATTTTTGGGAAGGCAGGTCCAGCGTTTATGGATTCTCAATAAAAATAAGCTAAAAATAGGTCATTTGGCGGTCAAAATTGTTTATTGGACATATGTATGTACATCAAATTATCAGATGTTTTATAGAGATTTTAATATTGTGTACACATTTTTTGTGTAAATTAGGTTCTGTACCAAGATTTTTTATTACGGTACGGGAAGTTCCAGCAATTTGCCTTAAGGGGCACAACTAGTGCGAAATTTTCAGAAAATCGAATTTTCAATTTTTCCTTATTTCGATAAGTTATATCTTTAAAAATAACATACGAAAATTTTAAATCGATATCTTAAATAGTTTTTGAGTTACAGTCATACAGAGTTTATATATAGTATATAATGTAATGATCATTTTATCTTTAAATGCGTTTTTCTCCAAACAGCATTTTCCGAATTTGCTGCAGCAATTACTCAAAAACAAATGATCCGATCACTATCAATTTTTTTTTACATGGTCTATATATAGTTCTCCGTAAAATGAACTATCGATTTTTTGATTGGATCAAAAATCGAATTTTGGCATTCCAAGAACGGCCAAAATTTTGGGTAAAATTCGACTTTTTTTAAAAAAAAAACGCCGCCATTTTGTCAATTTTTGATTTTTTTTTCTTTATCGTAGTTCATTTTACAGACAATATTATCTAGTTTAACGAGATTTTTTTTTTTAATTTCATCCACGTAGAAGACTGGAATTACTGCAGCTGTGAAGGGCCTTTTTTTGTCGCGCCATTGGAGTTCGACAATAACTTGAAAAATATTTAATTTTTATCTTCAAAAATGTCACTATGTATTCTTGAAGCATATATAAATATATTCATAATGATTGATAAAGTAGTTTTTTCAATATAAATTCCCAAAAATCACTTTTTTAGGCGGTTACACTAGTTGTGCCCCTTAAGGCACGATGCCATGCACCCCACTAGTTTTAACTTAATATTTAATTGTATTTTCTTATTTTATTGTTGTAAAACATTGGTAGTAATTAACTTTACATGATAACCATAGATAAACAAGAAATAACATTGCAGCCATTGTAGCCGCTTCATAATCGAAACGGATGTGCTTTTTTCTAATGTGACCCCTGTCTTTTGAATCTAGCGCGTTCAATGATTTTCAACGTTCCGCCGTATGTAGCGCGCGTGACTGTGTACATCGCACGCGAGTCATATACCCATGCATTCGGTTCTACACGCATCTATGCTCTGTTCACTGAAAAAACCGGCTTCGTGTAGTGCAATGCTTGAAAAATACTAATATTTTTCAGGAATATCATCATAATTTTGTGTTATCAATTCAGTGTTAATTTAACAAAGTATTTTTGTTTGTTTTACTTGTAAAAATCTTGTGGTTTATGTTGTAAATATCGCGAAGTAAATTTGCCGTGTGTTTCACCACGTGGTAAATTCCAATGCCTCAGCAATATGGAGTCGTAAATGAATTGGTATGATTTTTATTTGTTTTTCTTATTTGTTGGTAATTTTTTTGTTTCGCTTCTCGAAGTCAGCTGTTACGAGATTTTTGTACAATGTTGAATTGATATCTTAATAAGTATTTATTGTATTTTCAAAACAAGTTTTTAAGGTTATGGTTCGATGAAAAATTGATGACATGGGCATTTTAGTGTTTTGAACGTAATGTTTTGTGTTCTCTGCAAAATAATTACGGGTGAAACACATGTTGCTTGTAGATGAGAGAATTTGGAATTTGTTTTAATTCATGGATGTTATAACATATGCTCAGTATATATTGCATATGTTTATTACTAAACGTGTTATGTCGCCATCAGGGTCATTTGAATGAATTAGTTCTTTCCTCTAATATTGCGTATTCGATTATACCTTATGAAATCTGAACTATTAAATATCATCAGGCATATTATATATCCGTGGCCGTTTTTGCTGACACCGGGCATAGATATTTTGTGCGCAATTGCTACAACATAGTACTTAGATTACGTTCATGTATAAAATGTTTTATAGCTGTACATTTTGTTTATATGTGAGTGCTTGTAATCATAATAGTTGCGTAATCACGTAGCAATATCGCAACTAATAGAATAATGTTAGAATCAAATAATAAAATGGTATAAATAATTATTATTTATAAAATTCACCATTCTTTTGCACAAGCTGTATATAATACTTATGCATATTAATGTTGATATGCTAATAATCATTTAATTAGATAAAGATTGGCTTAGGCATACATCACCTTTTATATTATTAAAAATGTATATTTATTAAGTTATTTGTTGAAATTAGTATAATATTCTTTCTCATTATTCATGATATTAAATTATAATTCCAAAACTGATCTATTTCAAATGATTCGTATACAATATTCTATGAATTTTTGATGCTGGTAAATTTACTTTGATTTCAATATGTTTCAATTTTACAAACCAAAAGTAACATTCAATATATATATATATATATATATATATATATATATATATATATAATACTAATTTGCTACTCATGGTTGTATCTTGCAATTCACATAACTCGTATTACTAATTACTGTTCCTTTCATACATAATTCGAACACTTGCAAGTTTTGCTATGACCCTCTGAGTATGAATGTGTGTTATTAATTAATAATAACATTCTTTCTCATTATTCATGATATTAAATTATAATTCCAAAACTGATCTATTTCAAATGATTAGTATACAATATTCTATGAATTTTTGATGCTGGTAAATTTACTTTGATATCAATATGTTTCAATTTTACAAACCAAAAGTAACATTCAATATATATATATATATATATATATATATATTATATATATATATATATACATAATACTAATTTGTTACTCATGGTTGTTTCTTGCAATTCACATAACTCGTATTACGAATTACTATTCCTTTCATACATAATTTGAACACTTGCAAGTTAACCTATAACCGTCTGAAAATGAATGTGTGTTTCAATTAATAATAACATGCTTTCTCATTATTCATGATATTAAATTATAATTCCAAAACTGATCTATTTTAAATGATTAGTATACTATATTCTATGGATTTTTGATGCTGGTAAATTTACTTTGATTTCAATATGTTTCAATTTTACAAACCAAAAATAATATATATATATATATATATATATATATATATATATATATATATACATAATACTAATTTGTTACTCATGGTTGTTTCTTGCAGTTCACATAACTCGTATTACGAATTACTATTCCTTTCATACATAATTCGAACACTTGCAAGTTTTGCTATGACCGTCTGAAAATGAATGTATGTTTTAATTAGAATTAGTAATAATTTTTGTTATAATTTAGAATGCTTTATAAATACAGTTCCTATATATTATTTTGAAATATATTTGACTAGTTTATTTTCATTCTCAAGTACTTCGTAAAAAACATTTATTAGAAAAAACAAGTTTAACACATAATTATTATGCTATTGTTGAAAACCTAGGACAGTTTTATAGTTTATTAAGTATAGTATTTACCTTCGCAGCATAATTGATCAGTCATAATCATGTAATTTTTATTATTCTTTACAGCGACACCATAGGTCTCAATTACTATGTCTGCAGTGAGATCCATAATACTATTGGGATTGCCAGGCTTGGCTATTGTTCTGGGTATTTTGTGGTACAGGAAGAGAAATCCACATCTTTCAGATCCAGGTGGATCAAAGAAGAAACTTGACAAAGAAGTAGTTGAAAGCATTGCTGAAAAATCATTCGAAAGCGATAAATCTAAACAACTAGAGGTTATCATTGAGGAAAACTTAGGTAAAACTGAAAAACCAGAATTGAATAAGTCTTTGCCTATAGATATACCTGTTGGATCTCCAGTTGAATTGACTGACGACCAACTAGATATTGAGATCCTTAAAATTCAGTCACAAAAATCACAAGAAAAGGATTATTGCTTCAATCGTGTGCCAAAATCTATCAGCTTGGAAAAGAAGGAAACTTTATTTGAAAGACCTGAAGAAATGACCAGAGAAAAAACTAACAAATCTCAAGTAATTGATAAGGCTGAAGCGTCATCAGAAATTAATAAAGCAGTAGTTGAGGCCAAAATTGAAAATACTGACAATCAACCAGAAATTAAGGAAGAAGTGTCAAAAAACATTGAGAAAGAAAATCTTAAGGAAGAAGTAGAAAAAGTTGAATCAGAAATAGTTAAAAGTGAATCATTAAAACCTGAATTGAATATTCAGAAAGAACAAGCCATGGCTGAAGAGAAAGAAGATATTTTCACCAGCAAAACAATTGAAAGTCTTGAAAAAATCAATATCTCCGAAAAAATGACTTCTGTGGAATCTGAACCGAATAAAGTGGTTGAAGATAATGAGAGAAATGATTGGTCAGAGGAATTGTGTGAATTAGAATGCCAAACTGAAAACACTGAAAATATAAATACTGAGAACATTAGAGATTCAGCGTATCACAGCCCTACAGAAAATATGTCTAGCAGTCCTCAACTAAGTGCATATTCTGATAGACACAGCGAGGTAAGATACTACTATGATCTTTCAAAAGCGTTTCAGAGTGCAATTTTTATGTTTTTTATTTATTGCGTATAGTAATTTTATTGTTCTTATTCCAGCATTCTGAGGATAGTGGAAAAGGTTCTTCACCCAGAAGTGAGCTTGCAACAACTTATGAGTTTATTATACCACAGACTTGTGTTGGTCGTTTGATTGGAAGAAATGGTGTTTTTGTCAACAAAATAAAAAGTTTTACAGGAGCAAATATACTTATTAAAAACCATCCAGAAAACTTATCAAAATACAAGATATGTGCCATAGATGGTCTTCAAACAGAAATTGATGCTGCATTGGTTATGATTAGAGAGAAATTCCCTGAAAAGAAATACCCCAATCTTACTTTACAAAGAGTGAGTTTTCCTCCGGCAGTATTAACACCTGAAATATCACCTGAATGCGTTTCGGTAAGAAGATTTATATTTGTAAACTATGTATTGTTTGAAGTTAGATCTTATACTGAGAAAAACATTACTTTGTTGTATCGAATGCTATGTTTAATTTCATATATCATTTTAGTTGCAACTGATCGAGGGTGTAAATAATGACTGTACAGTGAGCTGTGTTTTAAATGGTGGAATAGTATCTTTGCAGCAGCCTTTACATCCATCATTTCCTAGTTTAAGTTTATTACAATGCTGCATGGCACAAACATATTCTCAAAATGATAATCCTAGACTACCTCTACCAGTTAAAGGTAGATATCAATTCCTTTTTTTTTTCTTGTTTTATATATCGAATATACCTATTTACATAAAATGACATATTTTTTAAATTACCTTATTTATTATGGGAATATCCTTTTTGAATTTTGTGTTAACTTGAAAATCCATTTTAATTCTATAATTTAATTTTAGCTGGTATGGTATGTGCTTGTCCATTAGATTGTCATTGGTATAGAGCTCAAATAACTAATGTTTTTGAGCCAAAAAATAATGATTTGAATGAAAAGAGTGAGCAGACTGAACAAACTGAGCAGACTGAAGATTATCAAGTTGAATTAAGATTAGTTGATTATGGAAGCAGAGTTGTAACGGAAGTGTCAAAATTAAGACAAATTCGAGCTGATTTAATGATGCTACCCTTCCAAGCTGTTGATTGTTTATTAGCAAATGTTCAACCAGCAAATGGTGAGTTGGATAAATAGCTTTTTTCATATTTATTATTAATATTAATATGACTCAATAATATATATATATATATATATATATATATATATATATATATATATGATTTAGTAGTTAATTTATTATAATTTATTGTAATTCATATATATATAAATATATATATATATATATATATATATATATATATATATATGTATTGTATTTTACGTTTTGTAACAATGTATTAAGTTCAGCATCTGTTTTCATGTTTCATGTTTTCTAATGGTATAATTTTGAAATTAATCATTACCACATATTTAAAGAGCTATAATTAATTGTATATCTAGTCATAATATTACTAACGAACATCTTTCTATTACAAGGTTCTTTACAATGGTCAAATGAAGCAGATGAGTGTTTGCGACATTTAACATATGGTCGCTTGTTGCAAGTTCAAATTTATGGTTTTCTTGATGACGTCCCACTTGTGCACTTGTATGTTACATTAGCAACAAATGTAAGTAATATTTTATTTTATCACACCTACTCTCTAATGATATTTAACTCTAATAATTTTATTATATAATTATTTTTTTCAATTTAAGAAGAATATTTGTTAAATTTCATTTGTTCACAATATTGAAGTAGTAATATATTTAATACTTTATACAACTATCAAAAATAATAATGTATAGTTTTTGCTATAATGGCTGGAAAAGCTTGATTCATTTCAATAATGAGATTATTTTACTTGCATAATAGTAGCGCTACTTTGAGTTAGTAAAAATTAGTTTGAATATTTCATTTTTTTTGTTACCAAATATTTTATAATTGTGTTTGTTTGATCTGCAGCAAGTGATGTTTGTAAATCAAGAATTAGTTGCTCGTGGCTTTGCAGAATGGGTTGAAACGGATGCATAAGAATTCTGTCGATTTTAAGGAAATTATTTATAACTTATTTTAAAACGCATTGTGTATGCTGAAATATGTTGATTTGTTACACATAAACTTTTATAAGTTTTTAGCTTAGGCATTTTTTGGAATATTTTACATTCTCAGAAAATGTCATAATTGCATGTTTGATACATTATATTTCTTATAAAATCAACAAGCACCTACACAAGAAGTCATGTAATTAAAATTGTATATATTTTAATGAATGTATAAATTAGGTAATATATTTACAAATAATATAATTAGTTATTAATCTGTAATTGAGTACCCAGTGAAAAATAGATCAATTGTAAATAACTTATTTTTCATAACAAAAACTATTTTTATATATTTTAAAACTGATGAAAATTCTAAGTAATGGTTTTGATTCAAAAAATGCAGTGAAGTTTCACATACAGCCTATGTATGCCTTCATTGCACAAAAAAATGAATGCTACCAATTATCAAGTTTAGTGGCAACATTAAAGTGAATTAGTTAATTTAAGATGAAATGTACATACATATTAGATAGATAAGGTTTCTGATTAAGGTTTAGTCTAGAGTAAGGCAGTGAGGATTTGTTTGTCATAAAATTAGTTTCTTAACCATAAAACATTTTAATATTCATCATTTGTTACTGGTAGGAACTAGCCTTTTATTAAACGGGTTGTAGTTTGTAGTTTTTAAAATTATCTTCAAATTTGACAGAACTTTCCACATATGTACATGTGTAACTAATGTTATATTTGTACTTATTGGTTATATGCTATGTTATTTACAAATCCTAACATTATTGACTTAGATTAAACTATAATTATGAATTATACTGTTATGATAATAGATTAGCGCAACTGTAAATATATTTATATACTATTTTGTTAATTTCATGATTTTATCCTATATATATAAGGTTATTGTAAAATTTTAGAATGAACAAAATCATATTTTATTACATTTTATACACAAATGAAACTGCATATACAGATATTAATTGCAAATTGATAGTAAAACAAGATATTAAAATTGTCCCTCACATGTCTATATCATTTTTAATAGTTCATATTTTGTTTTAACGAGCAGAGTTGTGAACTTTCTAAAGCTATGTTTTTGTGTTTATATTATTTAGTTCTAAAATAGTATTGTTTATGTATATGTGAGTGATAAAGTTCACTACTATTTGGTATTTTTATAATTGAAGTGTTAGGTTTTATTAAAATTGTTTTAATATATATATATTTCTTTTTATCATGTGTATCTAAGTCAATTTGCCATTCTTTAATTAACATAATTCTTTGTTTAATTTAGAAAAGTTGTGAAAAACTAGTATTAAGTGTTATTTATGTGAAAACTCGGGTAAAATGCTAATTCATTCTAAAACAATTCGTGCACTGCGTCATCCATATATACATAAATATATTTTAGTATAAAATTTTAATATAACATTTGTCATAGACTTAGTAATAATTTTAATATTTTTGTGAATTTAAAGATAGTAAATTAATGATAGTAATTCATGTCAGATATATGATAGTGTATTTTGGCTTGTTTTTCTGTGAAGTTTATTTTTTATATAGATTTTTGAGTTATATGTTAATAGACCTATAATGATTCATATATGCATATATAGCTTTTTCTTTATTAATTTGGATTGTAGTTTTTTTTTTGAAATATATCTTTTGTAAACCTACATACCATTGTTTTATAATCTAATACATTTCATATATTAAAGGTAAATTAAAATTGTGAAATTTCCAGCAGAATGATCGGCCAGGAAAGGAGAAAATATCTGCATTAACCAGAAATGCATTTATATTAATGTTACGGAAGAAACATTAGTGTTTTGCTTCATGGATTAAATGGATGGAATGCTTTTTTAGGTAAAAATGTGATCAGAATATATATAAATTTGCATTTTGATAAAATACATTTATCTTTAGCATTCATAGTATAGGTCTAAAAGCTACAAGTTACTTGATAATCATTAATAGATTTATAATGCTAAACAATGTATATTCGAGGTGTTGCTTTTTTTTATAGCTAATTAATTTCTCGACAAACCAAAATAGTTGTATATGGGCCAGAACCAATAATTGAGAAACTACTGCTACACGATTACTGGAAGATCACAGGGAATGGTGGATTTGCAATTTGGTTTCAGAAAAGTTGGCAACTGGTCTATCCCATGCATTCTAACTGCTTTGAAAAACAAAAAAGAATTGGCATTCCGCACTTGTTTCAAAGTAAAATCAAAGGTGAGACTTTCGCTAAATTTCACATTGCGTCTCTATGTTCATAAGAAATAAGTACTTAATTCTTAGTTCCAAAATTATCTGGTCATACTCCAATTATGGCTTTTACTCCTGATTTGATTTTATGGCATTGTCAAAGGGCTTAATATTATATTTACTTAATTAGCGCTTGCAAACTACGTAAATATAATTCACAGGCGACGAATCAAATTTTCACTTATTTTTACAAATAACACAAATCCATTTGGAACTCTGCCTAGTCCACAAGTAAATGACTACAGAAAAAACAGGATAATTTTTTTATTAGCTTTATTATTATTTTTTAATTGTACTATTTCTATTTAATACTCTATAATTGTTTTCTTTTATTTTTACTTTACTGTATAACTTTTTTAATTGACACAAATATTTTGTTACAACCTAAATAATTTCAAATCCTAAGATAATTTTAGAATCTAGTAATCTTATGCTTCAAATAAACAGCATGATCATGAAGTCCAATTTCAAATTCCAACAGAATTAGTAAAGATACCGCAGATCTAGAAACAAATCGTAATATTTGTTTATTAACGAAATCGAAATCATTTTATAATTATGAAATATATTCATGCAACTGATATTTTTTCGTCTTGTTACTGCAGTTATTTACTCGTAAAATTCGTTGTATTCATTATAGTAGCTGTTTATAGCGCATATAAAGTAGCACACAACGTGTAATTGAAAATTAATTATTTACAAATATTCGTACGTTTCGAAGAAGAAACTAAATGAGTCTTTTAAAAATTTATATAAATTCATTCGTATTTAGTATACTTGTAATAGGTTTTAGTTCTAACCCACAAAACGTTAGGAAATTCATTAACTGTTACATTTGAAATGGTTTGAATTAGTTGCTTTATCGTAAAGTGCAGTTAAATAAATATATTTGGTATAAAATGATTTATAAATTCGCTTTGAATGTCTCATTAACAGTCATTATAATATTATCAAATACAAATGAAATTTTTAGAGTGATCGGGTAAGCCTAATATAAGTAATTGAATAAAATATCGCAATCAATTGCGAAGGTAGTTTGTATACCAAACTAGCTCAGGTTTCTTCAACTTTTCAACATGTTCTACTTTGGAATAAGACAAAATTTTGGGAAGTATAAGAAAAAAATAGTGAATTTCGAATAATATTAACTAAAAATAGTCTAAACAACAGCACTGCCCAAAAATTCAAAACGAAAAATTATTTTTTCGCGCTAACGATAACTCAGAACGTTATTTGGTATGATGAATATAAGAACACCGTGAATTACAACCTTATATTTTTTTCCTAAATCGCGTTTATATATTTCAGGTTTCTAAAATTTAATCTAAAATCAGAGTGTGGGCAACGTAAAACTTTCATCAAATTACGATACTTTCACGAAAAGATCATGAAAAATTATTTACTATACTTCTTTTTTATTATTGTTTTTAAAAATTTTAAAAATATTAATAATACATTTCGAGCTAATATTTAATTCGATTGGTTTTTAGCTCATCCAAAAATAAAGTCAAATCAATATTGTCACAACTTGAACACAATTAAATTTTTTATCTTTATGAATTGCAGTTGCAGCTGTTTTCTACAATTCACTGAAGATTACTCTGAAATATTAAATAATTTGTATTTTTTAAACGTACGTTTACAGAGTATTACAAAAGTTCTATAATGTAACATTCTTAGAACGTACTAATATTTTAGAATATTACATTATAGAATTTTTATAATACTCTGTATTTTTCAAAGTAATATAATTCTAATAATATTAGTCGTATCAGTTCTGTACTATTATTTCTTTAAATATTTTATAGTTTCTTTTCTATATTATAGCCTTAAATTTTATTAATCAAACTATTTTATTATAAAAGTGGCTTTGAGATAACTATAGTATCTCATTATCGCGGATATATATCCGCTTTCATTTGCAGACAGTCTACGATTGATACGAATTTATTTTTGAAAAAAGAAAATAAAAGATTGAGAGAAGTAAGAGATTTATTAATTGATATTTCGCCAAAATACAGTAGAAGGGCACATTGTCTAGCATTATTAAGCGACAAACCGCATTCTCGCATTTTTACAAGAGAGCTTATGGATACTTATAGGAGGCACACTTACTTTATGGTAAATAAAATAGATAAAACGTTGAATAGAAAAAAAGATTACTTAGACATAAATTTATTTTGCAGATAGTTGTAAAACATGGTGAGGATCTTCTTTCTCCAAATGATGATACCGTTGACGCTATAGAAGGTGTTAGGCACGATGGTTGCGAAACTTATGTTATCTTACTTGGAAATCCGTACCAAGCCGTGAGATTATTGATGTTTGGAGACAAGTTAGTATACTTTAAAATTCAACGTGTATAAATACATTAATTATATTTAAAATTATGTTTGTTTTATTCAAAATTACAGAACCCGAGTGTTGGATACAAGTGCGCGATACATCATGCTGCATGATTACAAACTTTTAGCGCCAGATGCACATTATCTTTGGTATAGAATTGTTAGAGTTATTTTCATAAGGCGTTTTAGTAAAAAATCGAAGTCGCATTCCCAAGTAAGTACCTCTGGTAAATTATTTGATCTTATTTAGGTATTATTGTCATGTGATTATTTTTGCGGCGATATATATTTATTCGTTTTTATTTACTGTTAAACAAACTTAACAATTCTATAACGTAACATAAACTTCTTGAGAGAGATTGGCTAAGCCGATTTGACCAATCTTTGATTGATAGTAGAGGTCGATCATGTTCTTAACAAACGTTCAGAACAAAAATATTATAGGCCTAAATGTTTAAATATAAAAATTCAGTAAATTTTGAAGTAAATTTTGGCCATGTTAAAATTTCAAACTTGTAGCGTCGCAACTTTAAAATTCGGTAGAATCTGAGTCTCCAAGTCGATTGGATTATTGATTATTGATTATATTAACATGATTTTTGAAATTGTATTGCAAGTCATATATTTTATATTGTTTATTAATATAGTTAATTTTGTAGATTTCTGTATTTAATTATTTTTAGTCAGGAGAAACCAGCGCATGGTATGAATTGAGCACCGTACCTTATCCAGTAAAAGTCAAAGGAATATTGGTTTTGAAAAAGCTCGATTATTGGCGTAAGGGAAATGGTTTGAGAAACAAGTAAGTGTAAATTTAATCAAATTTTAAACAACCAAATTTGCAAAATTTCAATTTCAAATTTATAAAATTGTTTTTATTTATAGCGTGGATCTGTTTCGCGATAAAACGCGCAATTTATTGGGCTTACCAATGTCTGTAGCGATATTGAATCATTTACCAGCTGTGAAAAGATTGTCAAAAACTGAATACATAGGTGAGACATCAGTCAAATTACATTCAAAATTAATGAATTATAATTTAATTAAAATTCAATAACAAATATTATTATTATTTTAGTTTAAAGAGTTTGTTCAATGAATCCACGTGTTTTTACGATAATATTGTTGTTGTTTATAATACCATATTATCAAAAATAATTTGTTATATATCAATTTGTGAACATTTTTTTAATGATTTTAATCATAATACTAAAAATAAAGTATTTACTGAACATTATTTAATTTCAAGGTAACACTAGGGAAACAAAAACTATTACCGTTTATACGGGTTTGGAAATAGAGGTATGTATTATTATTTTGCTAGTAAAATAAAGTTGTGTTAAAATATTTAAACTTTTCTTTCATTATTTAGTTAGTGCGAGCTTTAGCAAGAGCAATGAATTTCACTTTGCAATTGTATGAACCCGCTAATGCAGACACTGAAATGTGGGGTAGAAAAGACGAAAACGGTACTTATTCTGGAATATTGGGCGAAATGGTAAAAAGAAAATTATTTATATTTTTTCAAAAAATAATTTATTTATTTTTTTATTTATTTATATTGTCTACATGTTCGAGATAGGGATATCCCATTCATCAGATACTATAGAAAAAATTCATTTGTATACATTCTTAAATTCATTGTAAAAATAATTTATATCTTTTATTTATAGTTTTTTCTTATTTTTTTTTACATTATAAATATGAGCCTTTATTTTTCAAAAAAAAATTCATTTTGCATTTTTCATCATATTACGGACATTATTTTCATGTAAATTCTATCCTTTGCACTCTTATTTATTTAAATTTATGTTATTATTTATCAACATTACTGGATGTTAATTATTTAACAGTTGTAATAATTATCGAAATTAAAAAAAATTGTATAATTATACCAAATATATTTTTTGTCTTATATATACTCGCAACCATCAACTTTAATTTTATTAATCGGAATTAACAAAAATCACACCGATAACAATGGATATTTATATCAAACATAAACTGAAGGGAACAATCGGCCCAGTTACTTTAATATTCTGTATTGCTTGTATTTCAATACTATTGCTATATATATTCTATATGTCTAGAAATATATTTCTAGTCAATTAGTAATTATAAGTTAAATTATAAATTGATCATTACACCTATTATAGATATAATACCCATTACCCATTTAATAATAAAAATATCATCTACGTCTCATTGTGGAATTATCATAGCATTTTATTTTAATATTTTATGCAGGTAGGAGGTTATGCTGATTTTGCTGTAGCTGATTTGCATTACACACAATACAACCTGCAATACATGGATCTTAGCTTACCTTATGGCACCGAATGTCTGACTTTTCTAACACCAGAAGCTCTTTTTGATAACTCGTGGATGACTCTGATTTTACCATTCAAGTTAGATTTTGTTGATAAATACAGTTATATAAGAAAATAAAATAATAACCATTATTTTTTTCTTTGATTTTGCAGGCCAATGATGTGGCTAGCTGTAATGATAGCTCTGTTCTTTTTGGGCTTTATATTTTTCGGATTGGCTAAATATCAAATGCATTTGCAAGTGTTTGTTCAAAAAATGGACGAAGACGAAAAAGTGGAACTGAAAGATGAAGGTATGCTAATATTATAATAGGTTTTTATATTATTAATTAATAGGGTAAGGTTGCAAGTAAAACGTACACGTACACGTAAGTTGAAAGAAAATCTTTGGCGTTTATTGAATCTTTATTCAGTTGGTTTATTATCAACAATAATTGAAATTTTCAGTTTAATATTAAAATCTTTGTATTTTTATACTTTTTAAAAATATGCTTTCGTTACTATTAATGCGCCTAATCGCCTTAGTCATACCACCTACAGCCTTAGTCGTATCTGCAATTAAAGCACTATATATATAGAAAATAGTCTTGGGTCAATATTATAAGTTACTAGTGGAACCTAATTAATAAAATAACATCTAAAATAAAATAATAATCTTTAAAAATAGCGGAAGTACTTTTAAAATTATGTTCTCGTTCTTTTATATTTAAGTAACATCGATTTTAAAAGCAAAGTGGTGATAATATTTAATACATGATAATATTAGAGTATTAAATTCGACTAAAATAGTAATACCATTTTTACTAATTTTAAGAGGAGAAAAGCAGATAAGTAAATTTAAAAGCAAACATTATAGATTTTATAAAAAGTTACTTAAGATGAAATCATATGTTTAAAATAAAACTTAAAAAAAGAAGCGTGTATTATAGAGCGTATATTTGTAAAATCTTCACAAAAAGCTTACATTTTAATTTCTCTATTTCACAAAGTTGGCAATTGTGAACGTTTCCTTTACTGGGCTTGCTGGTACTATTTAACTTTACCTAGGCAGTGGTACGACTTGAGCAACCTTACCCTAAAACAAAATCAAGCACTAAATATTTTAATAAAAGTAATCAAAACCCTTTCATTATGAAGAGGTGAGTTGATCGATTGTTCAAATTGCAGATGAATTAAGAGGACTTTATGTTTTTGGAGAAATGGTGAATAGTATTTTATACACATTCAGTATGCTTTTGGTAGTGTCGCTGCCAACTTTACCATCCGGATGGTCATTGAGAATGTTGACTGGATGGTAAATAGCATTTGTTAACATTTTAATGAATAATTTAATATACGAGTATATATATAATTTGATTATTTAAATTTATTTGCAGGTACTGGTTATACTGTTTTTAGTTGCTGTATCTTATAGAGCTAGTCTCACGGCTATATTAGCTAATCCAGCTCCTAGGTAATTGAAATATTTTTAGAATGTTCAGAATAAATTGTTTTTCAAATAATATTTTATATTAGATTTATATATATATATATATATATATATATTTATAATTGTTGCATATATTTCTTTACAACTGACATTTTTTCTCTACCTATTTTTTTCTTGTGCTCTTTTGGCTTTAATATTAGATATCACTACTTCTTAGTTTTGATTGATAATTTTCGAAATGTTCAAACCTTTGAAAACATTTAAAATTAATTTTTTTAAGAATTCGCATAGACACGTTGGAACAGCTATCAAAATCACCAATATCAGCCGGTGGTTGGGGCGATCAACATAAGCAATTTTTTGTCACATCTTTGGACGAATACGGCAGAAACATTGGTCGAAAATTTGAGGATGTAGACAACGCAACTGAGGTAATTGAAGTGCATAATTTCTTTATAGAAATATTTTGTGAATAATTTTAATTTCATTTTTAGGCTGTCGATCGAGTCGCACGTGGGGAGTTTGCATACTATGAAAACAAGCACTTTTTGCGTGAGCTGATCGTGGAAAAACAAAGATCTAATCGGGAGCTTGGAATCAGTAATATAAAAGAGGTATGTTTAGATAAAAATTATAATTAAGAATATTGCGTAAATGTTCTTCGAACCAAATTTTGTATTTTATAAAAAAAAACGATTTTAGTGTCCGAAAATGCTGCACTATGGTATTAAAAGTTGTATCAGTTTAGAATATGTTAGATGCACAATTTTATTAAAAATTCAAAAAATATAGTTAAATAATAGTCGGATTATAGATAGATCAAACCGATATGAATAACCATGATACTTTTTTTTAATTGGCATTTCCGTTGGAGACTGATTTTATGTTATTAAAATTATATATTTTGCAACTGTCTTTTACCATAATGAAGCAGCAAGCATACAAAATTCAAAAAATTAAATTCTCAAAATTTACATGGTAGAACTTTTATAAGCATTATCATTTCTCATAAGTAAAGGAAATCCGCAGAATGCTTTTGGAAATTTTAGAATACTTATATTTCTGTGTTAATTCAAAAAAATAGTAGCTTTATCGATCTTTACTAGAATTTAATTAACCTGATTACCAGCTGATCTCTTTAAAATACATTTTGATTTTTTTTTTAATTTAATCGTTAGTGTTAATTAATTACGAAGAAACAGTTTGTAAAATAGCCGTTCTATTACATTACAAAACATTTAAATGGTTGAAATAATTATTTACTTTTAATTACTTAATTAGTTGCAGCCGATTTCGAAAAATACTAAAGCAATGTATAATGTGTGCAATCACTTACAAACACATATTTTCCAATTTTTAAGTTCAAAATGATCATAAAAACTTTATCTAAAACTATTTTCATGATATTGTTTCGCAAATTGTAGGCAAATCAACGGTCGCTGCATATCATGGATAACTGCGTGATAAATATGCCTGTATCCATAGGTCTTCAGAAAAACTCACCTCTTCTTCAAAGATCTGATCGATTTCTGAGAAGAGCTATTGAAACAGGTCTTGCTGAAAAATGGTTGAGTGATGTAACGGAACCGCTAAAAGCAGCACAGGTATTTACAATAATTTTTATTCATTTTCATTATCGTTTCTTTACTTTAATAATATATAATATCTCGATGTGATTTTATATAGCGTGTGATATTGGTTAATTTATAATATTTTCAATTGCATTTAATTTAGGCTTGCAACTTGCAACGAATATTCAGACAAATACCGAACACTTAAGTAATATGCTTTGGTAATAGGGAGGCAATTGGTCGATTTAGTTTTTCATATATTTATTTTATGTAGTCATTGATACATATTGATCTTCTTTATAAGAATTTCATTTCTAGAAAGTAGTTTATTTCTTATTTTCGTAGACCATTTCAGCTTTAGAGAAATGCTATAGGAATTTAGAGCAATGCGCTCATCAATACTACATGTTTCATATTAAATTATTGCCCAATAGTATATTAAAAATATGTATAATCTTTTTTTGAAAAAAAAAACTTCCCAATCACTTTGCAATATATTTTTGAAATAATGACGACTTGTTTTAGTATACCGCTGCAATCAGAGAACTATCGCAAAATAATCACTTCTGTACAAGTTTGGCATTAAAATTTGGCCGAATAGTTTTACCTAATATGAATTCGGCTGAATATTTGGTATATTCATTGTACTACTGAATATACCGGCGTTCATTGCAAGTTTAAATAATAACGAATACCAACCAATTTTGTACAATATTTGTTTTCTTCAAAGCACCTTGTTGGGCAAAGTGCTCTTCGAAAATGTCGAATTTATGAAAAAAAGAATTGAGGTGTTATTTTAAACATATGATTTTATCTTTCCCAAAAAACTTTTTATAAAATATATAACCATTGCTTTTAAATTTACTTATCTGCTTTTCTCCTCTTAAAATTAGTACAAATAGTATTAACTAAAGTACATATTTCAGTCGAATTGAATACTCTAATATTATCATATACATATTATCATCACATTGCTTTTCAAATCGATGTTTGAATTTAAAATATAAAATTTGTAAAATAATTTAATAAACTTTTTAATATTTAATTATTTTTCTCAAACAGAAAACTGATGACCCACAAGAGGCTCTAATGGACTTAAAAAAGTTGTATGGAGCTTTTATAGCCTTGGCTGTAGGTTTTTCTATTAGCTCTATGGTATTAATTGGAGAATGGATCCATTGGAAATATGTAGTGCAAAAGAAACCAGATTTTGATAAGTATAAAATAAGAGAATACTATGCAAAAAAGTAAACGTTCCAAACCTAGTTGGACTATATATAGCAGGTATGAATTTAGTAATTTTGTAATTGTAATTATTGTAGAAGAAATTAATAAAATTAGTAAAATCATGAAATTCTAAATTTATTATAGAAATTAGGAAAATGCATTAACAATTTAGGAATCAAAAGTTTTTTTTATTAAAAAACGTTTGGTTTTACACCAGACTTTAGATATTTATAATTTTTTTTACAATAGATGATTCAACCTTATGTCTTAAATCCTGTAATTAACCAACGTATATAAGGTACAGAAAGTATTGAAATTATGTAGAAAACAAACAAGTGAGAAAATAATGCACATCAATCTTTTTTTCTTTAATCTTTTTTTTTTATCATACCATGATGTAATTCATATTTCATCATGGAATCATTTTTATAAAAATTCACACAAAAATAATTCATAGACTAATATTCTTTTATTAATAAGTTACATATAGTCAACAATATTATAAATTTTATTGCGGTGTTACAATGAATTTACCTTTAGCCTTTTTTTCTTTAATCTTTTTTTTTTAATCATACCATGATGTAAATTCATATTTCAATATGATGGAATCATTTTTATAAGAATTCACACAAAAATAATTCATAGACTAATATTCTTTTATTAATAAGTTACATATAGTCAACAATATTATAAATTTTATTGCGGTGTTACAATGAATTTACCTTTAGCCTCTCTTTTTCTTCAATTTCTTTTCAGCTTTTCATTTTCATCATGTAACCTACGTTTCTTCTTCAATAGCCAAATTTCCTTAGCTTTTTCTTGTCTACTTTGCATCATGCTCTTATAAAGATTTTTATGTTTCTTTTTGATCATTTTTTCACGTAAACGATATTCTTGCTTCTCTTGTCTTTTATTTTCCCATGGATCTTCTTTGTGGACCTCACCAGTTTTCACAGCCATTTTCTTTTTCTGTTAAAGAAAATTTCATATTTCATAATCACTTAAATAATTATTTATATGTGGTCTTAGTTGAAGTCAACTTAGTTGTATTTTATTACAATTACAATTATTAAATAAAAACAGTGTTGTATTGACACTAAAAATGTAATAATGTTGGGCTTAATTATTTACCTTTTCATTTCTCAATTCTTCAGGATCTAAAATCTGCTCTTCAGACTTGGTTTCTTCTTGGTCTTTAATAATATTTGGAGTTTGTTTTTTATTTTTTTCTTCGACTTTGTATTATCTACCAACTTTTTATTAGATGTTTCTTCTTCCTTTTGGTCTGCATCTGAATCCTCTGATTCACTTTCAGAAGCATCTTCCTTTTCTAAAGGGAATACAATATATCAAATATGATTATAACATAAGCTTATAAATATTCAACAGATTTAATATATTGAAAGTAAAAAATATGTTATTATTTGTAAGTATATTTACCTTGTTTTTGTAATAACTCAGGATCCAACATAGCTGCTTCTTCTGGTGGCACATAGTCTCTTTCTCTATTTTTATCAATAAATGGAGACAAATGAGGAGGTAATTTAGCACCCATTAAATAATCACTTGTTGGAAGCAAAGTTCTGGCATTCACACAATCGAAAATCCACTGTGGTTGAACATAGTATCTCGAAATATATTTTTTATCAATCGAAGGCCTATCTATTATTTGGTGAGTGATAGTTTCATCATCTTCATCAAATGTGCTTCCAACAAAAAGTAATTTATCCCAACTTACTTCACCTGCAACAAGGATATAAGACCAAAAAATTCTGCAAGTGTAATTATGTAATGAATAAATAAAAATACATACCGCCAAAACTTCTTATCAGGAATACTAAAGGCTCCCGTGGTACCTCACGATTGATATATATTTTTAATCCTTTGAATAAAGTTTTCAAATTTTTAACTTTTTCAAATTCTTCTTTAGCTTCTTCCATTTTTTGTGGATCTTCAATTTCAGGGAAAGTATCAATATCCACCTCATCAGTTTCATTTGAATTTTCACCAATTTTAGATAAAGGTACATTTAATGCTGCTACTCTTTCAGCAACAAAAACATCTTCATCAACAAGTGATAGATCATTATCCGAAGGTGACATATTTGAAAACTTTGGTGGATAAAACATATTCAGCATATGGTATAAGTGGAAATTGACAAAACCGAGCATAACGGTATAAAATTCAACAAATGTGGACATGACTTTGAAATCTACTTCATTTTTGTGCTGTGGCTGTAATAAAAGAAGAGTAGTTTGAAATGTTGATCTGTGACCGTAGACTAAATGTTTTTATTATGTAACAATTTCATTAATATATTTATGTTCATACAAATTCATAAAATATGAGTTGATTAAGTGAGAATGTATGCTCATTAATTTAAGATGCAATTTTGCATGTTGAAAAGTTTTTTTTAGGCAAATTGTTTATTATTAAAAGTACTAAATGTGCATCTAAAATGTTTGGAAATGTACTGAATAAAAAGCATAATGTGAGACAGTCATCTAAGTCACGCAATGCATCCACAAATGTCGGATATCTCTCCTTTACAATGTGATCTAATTTTATAACTGGATGATTTGCAAGGTATCTCTTCATTGCCGCAAAGTCACGCATAGCTTTTGCTCTGCCTACTTTGCGACTGAATATCTGAAATAATTTAAGATATTATATAGCACTAGTTGAAAACAGTTATTTTAAATAAAACTGAACGTAATATACCAAGCTACTTCATGTTTACTTGAATATGTCATGCATTTTATGAATAATTTAAAGAACATACTTTATATTCACGTAATTTCCATATTATAGGTTCGTGCATTAAAAACTGTATGTCCTTCTTGTGATATAAGGTTTTGATGCCAGTACTGCCTTTTTGTGCCCTCTTTCTGTTTCTTGGCTCTCTTGGGTAAATACCTTTGATTATGCATAATCTTCTAAAGTCTTTCAAAGTTAATTGTAATTTCCTCAAAGCAGCTTTCTTGATATAAATAAGGAACCCTCTCCTGATTCGTACTAAAAATAATATAATCAACGTAAACACGTGTATCCAAAATATAACCTATAATTGTGATGTTACCTTTTTTTTTCGATTTGCCACCATTTTAAATAAATAGAAAAATTACGATTATAATTGTTATTTTGTTAATTAGCAGCTATAACTTTAAAGATCACTATTTTCACATCAAAAGTTGTCTATCAATTTTTCGGTACTGACAGCATGTGCGTATCGTGTAACCCCAAGATAAAGCTAAAGGTCGAAATGACTGATGTCTTTTGTCACCAATAAATAGAAATTGCCATATTTAGTTTGTAATGCAGGCAATCAATTTGCAGTCTCCTTTTAACATCCAGTAATTATATTCATTAACTAATGGATTATTAATAAATTGATGTAAATTTATTAAGGAAAATCTAGTATATTTTATCTAGTTGGTGTGCCTTACTTTCTTTTGTTCTACATTGCAATACTTACAATACTTTGTTTTTACGAAATGCAAAACTATTTGATTTTCTACATTTGTAAAAGTAAAATGTGAATAATATTTGTAATTTGTAATAATTTTGTTTAACTTAAGCTTGCATTATTTTTTTTAAACAAAAGTTCGGGATAATTTGCTTTGGCAGAAATCACCGGTGAGTTAGAATCTAAATTTAATTTTTCAGTTTCCTAACCTGTGCCGGTATTAAGAGCTTTCTGCTCTACAAAATTATATTTTTGTAAGTGTGTGCATCATTATTTATTCCATTAAAAATAGTATTTGACAAATGTTTAAAAGTGAAGCCAAACAAAAGTAATTTTTTATTAAAGGTGTGTATTCAAGTATTATTATATAATTGAATAAATGATGGGATTAAATATAAACTTTATCTAATTCTTTTGTAAATTTTATAGTGGCCATTTTTTCTAAATAGTTTGTCTGCATTATTATGTTATTATCGGCTTTCCTCAAAAGTAGATGCTTGCAGATCAATGTTTTGCTTTATAAATAATCATCAATTTGTGAAACTAGAAGAATAAATAATTAATTATAAAACATTTGACCTCTCAAGATAGTTATGAATTTTTGATTAGGGAGTAGTTGTCAAATTTATTTAGTAATATTTAATGCATGCCAACCAATGACTTCATCAAATATTTTGTAATTATTTAAGGTAATATGAAAATTTAAATTGATGAAAATGACACTATTATATATTTAATTCTCATAATTAATCGGGTCAATTTTTGTATGGCTTTGTACTATTGCTTTAAGAGCTGCTTGATTTGATTTAATATATTATTGTTTAGTTTGTTGCGTTATGCTGAAAATTTATTCAGTTTATTTATAAAATGCATGAAATGACCTAAAATCACTTAATGCTGGGATTCATAATCATATATATCATTATTGATACAAGTTACGATTATAATAATATGTTTGTTTATTCATATATAACGTCAAATAATTTGTGTTATAATAAGTTGTGTTATAAAATAGTTAAAGTCTCAACTGCCATATAAGAGATCCCATAAAGTTGACAAGTGAATCATGTTGTGAAAGTGAAATGCATCAGTCCAATATTTAGCAGAAACAACAAGATACATTGTCTGCCTTTATAAAATTATATCAAATTATTTATATTTTTAACTGGTTCTGATCTTTTATGGATTTTTATTTATTCTCATATATATATTGAATTACCTAAATAATTCATTTGATTTGATTGATGTTTTGATCATAACTTTTCAATGTTAATGTTTTGTTCAGATGAGGGTCTTTTTGTATTATAAAAAATTGTTGAAAAGTAAGGCACAAATTTTTAGTTATTTCTTCTGAAGTGCTACTTTTATTACAGAGAAAAAAACAAGCGGAACGATGTCTTCGAGTGCAGGATCGAGCGGCAGCTCAGGAGGTGGCCGTGGAAGTGGTGGGGGTGGAAACGCAGGCGGACGTGGAGGCAATGAATCTAATGCTGCACCGGTAGCGCCCAAACCTGAAACAAAAGAGTCTAAACCTAATCCTAAAATGTCAAAGGTAAACTTTTATTTACTTATGTTCTATTCAAATTTATTACAAAACTCGAAGCCAGTCAGAAATGTTTGCTTAGGTTCTATTTATTTAAGCAACTTATTTAACAACTTAGCAAATAAATGACGGAAAAACCAATAATGAAACAATTTGCAATTTAATCATGTCTGTTCGTAAAGGTCTGTTTGCTATAACATCTGTGAACATTATTATTAATTTTAATACTTTAATACTTTACGTTTACATTGTTACATATTTTAATATTACAAATTTATTTTTATTTTGTTTTACTATCATTGTACATTACAGATATAGATATAATTTATAGTTTATAATGACATTTTGACAAAGAATATTTCAAATGTTCATTCTGCTCGTTGATTTCATGTTTGTTTCTTCTCATATTTTTTCTGATTTTCTGCTGCACAAAGAGTTTTCTTTCTTGTTGTATTACATTAATTGCACATATGTTAATTGAAGTTTTTTGCTGTTTGTGATATAGTGTAGTGATATAATTAATTTTTATATTAGTCATTTAAAATGACTGATGAAATAAAAATTGCATAACGGATATTTAAAGGATTTTTTTATAAGAAGACTCTCAAGATCTACAAGGCTTAATTAAACTATTTGAATTTTATCACATTTTTCTCTTCAAGTTATTGTATTAGATATTACTAATGTTAGGCTTAATATTGTTTAATAGTTGTATTTTACTGTAATTAATTCAATTAAGATAATTTATTTTCTGTAATTATTAAATTTATTCCTGTATCCGTAATATAAATATAAATATATATAAATATAAATTGAATGCACTCTGCAAAGAAGCAGCAAATAGCAATTCATGAAATTATCTGTTGTTCTGCCTTTAATTTTATAAGCATAAATTTTTTATTTAACTTATTTCCTTACACAAAAGGCTCTTGGAACTTCTGCTAAAAGAATTCAAAAGGAGCTAGCTGAGATTACACTTGATCCTCCTCCAAATTGTAGTGCGGGCCCGAAGGGAGATTCTTTGTATGAATGGGTTTCTACTATACTTGGGCCACCTGGTAGTGTGTATGAAGGAGGGGTGTTTTTCTTGGATATTCATTTTTCACCAGAATATCCTTTTAAACCACCTAAGGTAAGGTTTTTTTTGTTATTAATAAGGAAATTCAAAAAAATAGTTTATGGATTACTTCCTGTAATGATATTTTACGAAAATTGACTAATTTGTTTCTTGGTAAAATTAACATACACACACATACATAAATAAAATCTTCTTGTTCTTAGGTTACATTTAGGACAAGAATTTACCATTGTAACATAAATAGCCAGGGAGTAATATGCCTGGACATATTAAAAGATAATTGGTCACCTGCTTTGACTATTTCAAAGGTTCTGCTGTCTATTTGCTCTTTGCTAACAGATTGTAATCCAGGTAAGATCTTATTACACATGTTTTAAATAATAATTTTAATGCCTAAAGGCAAATATTTATTTTATCAGAATTTTTCACCATTATTTTTCAACCTTTGCTTCTATGCACCTATATCCAAGTTTCATGCAGAGGACAATGATGTATTGAAAACTGGTTTCTTTTTATTTTAGAATGCTTTATTTATGTCAGCATTGTTTAACTACATAAATTTTTGACCAAATTGCTCTTGCGATACTTTGATTCTGCACTACTAAGTTATAATATTTTTTTTCTATGTTTTATATATTATTATATTTGCTGATAGTAGTTTTTCAATTACATTATAATTTTTTAAGATTTAATTGGCTTTAACTACATTGGTATCTTCAATATTAATTTCACATAATGTTTGAGGCAATCTGGATTTTTATTCATATCACTTGTGTATACAATATGAGGTGAAAGTGATATCTCAGCTTTATAAGGCACCTAATGTTTTTTTCTTGACAAATACTTTTATTTATATTATACATATTTTCGTTTGTGTAACATTTCACGCAAATGATTATTGCTTTACAGCTGATCCTTTGGTTGGCAGTATAGCCACACAATATTTACAAAATCGAGAAGAACATGACCGCATAGCAAGGTTATGGACGAAACGCTATGCTACGTGATTGAATAGATTTATGATATTAGTTCTCGTGTTTTTTTTGGTTACTATGCTTTTTAAAGTTTTTTCTGACATGTGCAAAAATAATTTTGAGTTCAAACAAATAAAGCAGTTGTTCATATCTAGAAATTTGATCACTTGTATATTTTTTTATTATTAACCTGACCTTATATTTCTTTATTATTTGTTCCTTGCCTTTTTAATTTAGGATCATGATTACTAAGTGCTATATTTCACATATATAATATATAACCTCAATAATTAAAATATTTTTATTATATTCACCTTGTACTAGATTTTAAGTTTTTTGTTACATCTTATAAATGTGAAATGTTTGATATTCTTGATTCTAAAGGCTGTGAGAAAGGCATGTTAGATAGCTGACAAAGATATGAACATTTGTCAATCATAAATTAAAACTTTTGCCGCTATACAAAAATATAACTAATAACTAATATTGGTCAATTTTCTAGAAAAAGAACTCTTTATTTTGCAAATATATATGTTTGATTTATCGTCTGTTCGTGCTTGTATGATTGTGTTTGTCAAAACACACTGGTAATAATTTTACAATTGTATGTGTTTTTTTGAAAAGGTTCGTATACCTTATAATGATGATACATTGTAAATTGGAAATATTAAGGTTTTATTTAAGACCTATTATCATAATTGTTATTCAATCTCTGTGTGTAATGTCATAAAATATTTAGATATAGTGCAGTGATCGATACATAATAGCATATTAACATTTTAATGTTATATATGTTGTTTACATATAACTATATATTAACTATTATATTCATACTAAGCATTACATACGAGTATGTGTTCAAAATCTGTCATTTTTAATAAAAACTATAATTTCATTGATCAATCAGTTTTTTGCCTCTAAAGGCTGTAATATTTAGTGTGTTGCTCCAGCTACAAATAAATGTTTTATACTGATATTATGTATATTCATATAGAATTTAGCTGATAAACATATATATATATATATATATATATATATATATATATATATATGTATCGGTAATTTATTAATGAATTTTATTCTTTCAACACTAAATTTAAAGTTTTAGGTAAAATTTTGTGATAGATATACTACTGATATAGTAACACAATAATATTCAATGAGTTTAATAGTACATTTTTATTTTAAGAATTATGTATGTTAAAAAGTCCTCTTGGCGCAAAAAAAAATCTGTGTCAAAATTAATATTAATTTTATAAGTTAGTTTTTATATTTTAATGAAACATATCCTTGTAAGTTATATATGTATGTGTTAAATAATAAACGAAATATATATAGCGTGATTTTGTATTTTTGCCATCAACTGCCATTTGCTAATTTTGTTTTCTCGACATTTTAATTTATTCTGAATCAGTTGATCCGTTTTCTTAGAAAATTATTTAACTAGTGGGATGGGTGGCATTGTGCCTTAAGGCAAATTGCTCGAACTCGAAATGGCTGGGCCTACCTTTGCCAAAAACTAATAAACACTTCTCCCAATCATTACTAATTGAATGTTTTTTAGATCATTCAAATCGGATACTCCGTTCTCTCAAAAAGTCGATTTCTATTTTCTGCACTCTTTGCTCCGTATCCCCGAAACGGCTGGACCTGCCTTTGCCAAAAACTAATCAGCTCTTTTCCCTATCGATAGGAATCGAATGTTTTTTGAACCATTGAAATCGGTTGATCCATACGTGACTGGAAATTTGTATCCATACATACATACACACACACACACATCCATTTTTTCTGAGGTATGCCAAAATGTTCAGAAACCTTCAAAATGTCGAGAAATGTAAAAATTTTCAATTTCAATTCCGATTTTTGGCCCATTACAATAACTTACCCTACGGGAAGTTAAAAATTCAAATATTGTTCGATCTCGTAATTTATCTGTTAAAAATCGTGTTGATTAGTTTTTGGTAAAGATTGAGCGGGCGGTTTCTTTGAAATTAATTGTAAAAAAAAATTTGATTGCTACATATCTTTTATGTGATGATAGAGGGAATTTTCTTATAAAAATTCTAAACTTTGGAATAATACAAGAGCGTGTTTGCGCATTATAATTAATACAATTACAAATATATTGCTGTCTGTTAAATCGCATTGATTAACAGTTATTGGTGAAAGGCGGGAACTTTTCGAAATAAATAGTCGCAAAGTTCGTGCAGTTTCCAACAACCCTCACCAGAGGGTCGTCAGTGCTCAAGTTCAATCGCTCGTTTTAAAGAACTGATCTTATAATTATAATGCATCATGCATAGTGCTCTCATTCTTTCTGTATATGTATATCTACCTGTGTGTATAATGTTTCCAGAAATTGTACAATAATAGTGTTTATAAAGTTTTTTAGTGTAGTATTTGTGAAGCCGAGTTTGTGCGTAGACAATATGTGCTTGTGATTTATTTGAAAATATATTTTATATATTCTCATCGCCGAAAACAAATTGAAATAATGGCAAACAACGGGCTGGAGCGGATCGTATGGATCTGGTGAGTGCTTTCATTTTAATTCATTTCTATTATAATTGTAAGAACGTTTTAGAAAATGAGAAAGATTTATTTTTGTGTTCTTTCTCGATTTTTATGCACGTGCAGACGTTTGTCGATGACAGTTGACTGATGATATTTTTTGCCGCCAATAATATAATAATGGATCGGTTTTATCGATTGTATTGTATAGAATTTTCATAGTTTTTATTAATAGTCGCAGGAAATCGTTGTACAATTCTAACTTTTCGATTACAGAATAGAGATTGATACCAATATCTTACATTTGTAGTCAATAAAGATAAATTCATTTGGGCCGTGAACACATAAGAAACTCTTAATTTAGAAACACCTGCAACTGAAACTGACTGGTAGGCTAATTCAACTTGGTGGAAATTACAAGTTTCTACAAAAAATAAATTTTTGTCAAACAAAACATTCATAAAACCAATATGTTCTTACGGCCCAAGGAAATTGTTCGTTCTTATTTTTTGATGACAGAAGAGAGATTTGTACGATTATCTAATATTTAATTTAAGACAATTAGTTTATCGTTTAAAATTTTGATTTATTTGAACTGAACTGAAATTGTGAACACATAATTAGGAACTACTAACTACACTAGCAACTGGAACTGACTCGTAGGCTCTTTGTATTGGCTGTAAATTACATACTACAGAAAATAAACTCCTATCATACAAAACATTCATAAAACCAACATGCTCCTAAGGGCTAGTAAAACAAATATAACAATTTTGCGGATATATCAATACAAAACTTAAAACAGAACATCCCAAACTCTGTTCGGAACTCTGAATGTTGTTCATATGAACTTTTTGTGTATTCAATGGCATAATTTAAATAACTTTATCATAGTTAAAATTATGAAACGATTGCATAAATATCATTTAAATCCATTTAAATGTTTTAATACCCTAATTCTTCTCATTAATCGTTATATATTACGGATACAGGTTTGAATTTATTGTTTAAATTACATTTCGGTAATAGGTTTTAAAAAGTAAATAATTGTAATTCAAAGATTATATACATATTATGGCGTATGGAACATTTTATTTTAATTTTTTTGAAGTTTCATACTGTAATTAATTATTATTACTAACTATTAACACTTACAATAAAGATACGTAGCTACAATTTTAAAAAAGGAAAAGATGAATGATTTAATTCTCTCAGTTAAAGAAAACTCCAGACTATAGTATATAATGACTATTGCTTATAATGATATAACTGATTATTGTTTATGTTTACATCCATACTGAATTTAATCAATCAAATTAAATCACTAATCAATTTCTATCACTAAATCAATATTATAATATTCAATCATTAAATGAATGTTTTTGCTCAAAATGAGATTTTTAACAATTATACTCTGTAATATAATGGAACTAATATAAAGAATGGTAAAAAATTTAATCATATTATTATGAAGTATATGCTCAGTTATCTGAAAATCTATGCATTACTATTATTCAAGAAAACTTTGAATTAATTATTAACTTACCCTATGGGAAGTTAATAATGTAATAATAATTTAAATTAATAATAGGAATTCATAATGCATATTCAAATAATATATATTCATTCAAAAATATTGTACAGCTATTTTGTATTTGTAAACTAGCAGGCTAGTTGACTTCAGCCTTTGATTCAACTTCTTTTTCTATGACACCGGCGTCATCTTGTTTATTTGGTTTTTTTAAATCATATTCTTTGCTGACATAATTAAAAGGATTGATTTGGAATGCTTCAGCAGATGGCGGACTCGAAACCAAACACCTTTAAAAAATGAATTCAATTAAGTCCAATATTTTAATAACTGATTAAAATTATTCATTTATTAACCTTGTAATAAAAAGACCATCCCTTTTTGGCCTCACACTGTTGACGTCTTCTAATAAAGCATGTAAATTTTCTTCTAATTTTTTTTCATCCATATCTAACTGAAATAATGAATATGTGTTTAGTAAGGTCTTCAAAATTGTTGATATATTTCATTTATAGGTGAAGTTTTAATATACTTTTCCAATACAAGTATCTATATAGCCATAATTCATTTGGTATTCATCTTTTAAAGCATAATATTGTATGCCTGTGTAGAATTTCCTTACTAATTCTCCTACTTCAACTCCCAAATTTCCTGACTGGATATTGGGAAATTTTCTTCTCATTAAACCTAAAAATTGAATAAAATAAGATCTGGTAAAAAAATGAGTTTAACTCAAATTTTGGAAGAAAAGTGTTAAACTTACCTCTAATAGCTACAAGTTCTGGTAGAATATTTGGATGAGCTATTACATAATTGAAATTAGCCAAATTGACTTCTCCACTTTGAATATCTTTGATTAATTCAGGTCCCCCAACGAGGGTGGCACCAGCTTCAGTGGCTTGTTTCTGTGGGGCATCTCCTTTGCAGAATACAATGATAGTTCTTTCAACATTTTGATCGAAAGCATGTGGTATCATTGCAATACGTTGAAATTTATCCATAAATCGGGTCTAGAAGTATTTTATGAATTTACAATAGATGTTTTTATGACATTTTTGTTTCTATGTGATGAACTGAATAGATTCACAATTAATGTTTGTTCAAATAAGTGTTGACCAATCTATTTACCAAAGTAGTAAATGATAATCAGTCAACTGATATTTGATTTCTTAAATCCCATCTCAAATATTTAAGTTTAAGTTTAAAATAATTGAATTAAATTTTTAAATTTAATATTTACTCTTGGTTATTTATAATATAAATAAACTACAGTTTTTATATAGATATACTAATCATTTGTTTGTAATATTTACTTGAACTGTTGCTTTCATAAATATGTCACGTAACCCATTTAATTTATTTGTGATCATTTTTGATCAGTAGAACCCAAATTGTGTTACACGAATAAATAAATATGGCATACTTACAACTTTTTCACCAGTCATGTTTAGCTCAATTTTAACATTTAGATTTGCATCTGGAACATTGTACACTGTAGGATGATGTGTTTGCCTATGAGCAGCTATTGCTTCTGCAAAATCGTAAACTTTCATTTTGTAAAACTTAGAGATGAAAACATTGTCGCTTGAAACATGTTTGTAGCTATCATTGAAATGCTTGTCTATTGTGCTCACGGCTAACCTGAATAATTAAACATATAAATCAATTAAGACAAAAGACAAAAAACTGTTCACTTTATTGGAAAATATGAATAAGCTGATTTTGATTACAACTGAAACCCCAGTAAGAATATTCTATATATTTATATATTTTTTTCAAATTAAGTAAATAAGAGACCATAGTTCAGTGACTGTAAAGAGAAAAAAAGGCAATTTCTTACTTCATCGAGTGCAGTATAAGTTGCAACTGTGAAATACAGTTTTGAAATACTGTTATGCTCCTAAATTATGTTATGGACAATGTGATATGCTCAAATAACCTTTTTCTTGAAAAAAAAAACAAAAAGAACTCGATCTTCATAAGAGAATTTGGTTTATCAGGCTTGGAGTTAAAGATGCTTTACTCCGTTATATAATTTTTGTTAATAATTTTGATGTGTTTAATTAACAAGACGTAAAATTGTTACAGCAGAAGTCAAAGTTAATGCCAAACATAATATTAGTAAAAATATACAATCCTCTTTTGGGCACAGGATTCCGACTAAGTTTAAGTATGTCCTATACATTTATTGTTTTTTCTATAATGTTTAGCAGGCGTGTATATGGATTGTATTCAAGCTAAACTAGATAAATAATGAACACAGTGCTTTTTGACCTTTAGTATGCCAAAAAGCATTTGGTTCAGTGTATCTCCTCGAACACATTTTAAATTTGCCAAATGCTGTATAGTTCATAGTACGTGAAATTGTGGGGCTACTAAGGACTTCTATAACATCAAATTATGGCGTAAATGGTTGGTCCAATAGAGGGTTAATGAGTGCCAATGAAAATGTTAGTTAATTAACATTAACTTATTACATTTTACTTGTTAATTAACACTTACTTATTTTTGGCACGAATATTATGTGGGATGAAACCAACTTTTTTTTCTTCGACTTTAACTCCTTTCTTCTTTCGTGCCTTTTCTCTGGTACCTTTTCTAGCAGCAAAAGTAACACATGATTCATGGAAAGATCTCTTATTACTTAATTTATTTAAATTCGTTGATATTGCATTTGCTCGAGCTATGCTTGTACATACTGATAACATTACACTGAACATTTTTAGAATTTATTATATTGTTACTATTATTATAAATATCTCTATTTTTTATGTTAAAACAGTTGCTTCACATAGCTTTTATATGGGTTTATTCTCAAAATTTAACATAACCTCCAAAATCGATGTCAAAATTAGATCATTATAAAATATGTTCGCTTTATCATTTTTTATATAACAGATGGCACTAGGGTAAAACCGCGCCGTTTTCAAAAGCCCGAATATTGTACGTTTACATGTTTTTTTTTTAACTTTAATACTTTTTCTTACATGTTAAGATACTTATCACTTTTACTAAATACTTTATCACTTACATACATAATACTTTTCCTTACATACATATTACATGATTATTACTTTTTCCATTTTATTACTTGAATTTTAACTTTTCCCGAAGGTAGAAGTCGGTGTATTAACTTATTCTCCAACTCACTCTCGGTGCACAGTGTCAGAGTCCTTGTTTTTTCTTTTTGAGTAAAGGGATACAATCCGAGTACCTCTTACTTGTAAGAGGTATGCTGCTACGACAACTATTGCCCCCTCTGCATATACGTATGCTGCAGCAATGCCCACGAAAGGCCATTTTCACTTGAGATCATATTCGAAATCTATGATTTCAAGTGAAAATTCAGTATCAAGCTGCTTTGATACCGAACCGACCGCAGTTGGATTGTTCAGATCATGTTGAGATTGTCTTAATAATGATTTAAATCAAATATACATAATCAGCAATATACATTTGTCAAATTTGTTTTCTCGACGTTTCAATTCATTTTGAATCGAATGAGACCAAATTGGACAAAGCATGTGTGTGTATATGTGTATGCATGGCCGGTCATGGCGGGCACTGAGGACCGCATGCCATTTTTTTTTCTAGCGCCCCCCCTCCTGTTACATTATTTCTTTAAAATACATTTTAATAATTTTGGATTTAGTATACACAAAATTACATTGTACATTGTACATTGAGTTTAAAGTATTTAGAAGGTCGAGGCGATTCGCGGGTGCTCATAATCAAATTGTTGTCGCATAATCAAATTGTTGTCAACTTTTTAGCACATCCAAAAATGACAGCAAGTTTATTATTGTATGCAAGACTATTTTTAAATTTTTAATTTAAAAATTCTGACCTTCCATTATCAAACATAAAACTCGTAGGTACTTCACGTTGGATTTTTTACATTTTGTTTTTCATTATTTAAAACATCAAAAATTGCATCGTAAATATCTCCTAATTGATATCGTTAGGGCCGAATTGTATGTATTCAGTTTTACTTTCACATCGTGTATAAGATTGTTGTTTTAAAGTTACATTTTTAACGTATTTTAAAATATTGTCCAAAGATGAGTAAAAGATGCAAAGAAATTATATATTCCTTGAAAGATATTGAAAACACTATATTATAAATTTTATATCCGAATCCCGTATTGGCGCCCCCTAAAGCGTGCGCTCGCATTTTTCGCATGCATCGCATTCAAGGTTGGACCGGCTCTGTGTGTGTATGTATGTGAACCGATTTTCGTCGACGTTTTTTCAAAAACGGCTGGACCGATTTTAACAATTCAAGCCATTCGGTGTATCTCGACAAGGACTAGGATCCTAGGATTAATTTTGTGCTACGATCGGCCGAGCCGCTTCTTTGTAATTAGCACAAAAGGGTAAAATTTATCGCCCACAATATTAAATCGATTTTAAAAATTCAAAAACTGTTCAAAAGATATTGATTGGGAATCACTTTGATTTGTTTTTGGTAAAGATCGGACGAGACGTTTCTTCGTAATTAAATGATCTGAATAACATACTAAAATGTTTTAGGCCTCTATAGGCGATTGAATTATAAAATTTTATCAATGTTTAGAATTTCGTTGGATTCTCAAGCGATTCTAATCAGAATTCTATGCCGAAGTGTTCTGTGCTGTTTTGTTTGTAGCTACAGCAGTGATTTCCAACCTGTGGGGCGCGCCCCCCTGGGGGGCGTCTTACCGTTCCAAGGGGGGCGCAAAGCTGTTTCAAAAATATTATTTTTAAATGCTGAGTAAGTGTCAAAAACAAATCAGCAAAATACTTAAAGTACTTTTAAGAGTGTTTGAACTCAAAAAAGAAATTGCTATATTTCTTGCTGATAACAAAAGAGACGGAGCAATCTTGTTTTAGGACACAAAATTCCTCGCAAAATTTGCCTATTTGCGTATTTAGTTGATATTTTTCAAAGACTTAGCAATTTAATTAAATCAATGCAAGGATCTCAAATTTGTGCTTTTGTTCAGAAAGACAAGATTACGGCTTTAATGAAAAAATTAGAACTGTGTATAGCTAGTATCAAATAACTTTATAACTTTAACATGTTTCCCACTTTTAAAATTACTTGTGTTACTGATGAAATAGAAGTAAGTAAAGATCTTATTATTATGTCAGTCATATGACTAGTCTACGAAACCAATTTTCGCATTACTTTGGTGATTTTGGTCATTCAAAAGCAGAGCAGAAAATGATAATTGATTTATCTAGTGATAGCACATTGAAGCAGATGTTTCAGGATGAAAATATATTGTTAAGTTTTGGTTACCAGTAAAGGACGATTTTCCTACTTTGGCAAATAATGCTTTAGACATTTTATTACCATTTATGAGATCTTACTTATGTGAAACAGAAAATTCTTATAATAAATAGTTATGTTTGTATGTATATTTTTTATAATACTGTGTATTATTTGGCATAATTTCAGTTATATTAAGTATATTTAAATTAAATTGTTAGAAAAATAAGAATGGGAGGGGGGCGCAATATTTTTATCATTCGAAAGGGGGGCGCAAAGAAGAAAAGGTTGGAAACCGCTGAGCTACAGATTACCACACATGGTCCACACTCAAATAAAATACATTTTCAGAACACGAAAAAAATGAAACGAAATATGTCAACAAAATAATTTAATTTTTACCATTACAGATATTATGTTTCAAAGATATCCATTGAAAATCGTTTTTAACCCCTTAACTTAAACTGTCGGGCCAAAGTTGTTCAAGCTGGCGCAGCGTTTGTGACTGTTTTCTTACATAGTGTACAGTTTATTACATTTTTTTTTGTTATTATTTTTGAACAGCAATCAGAACCTTACGTCCTATGAGCTGTTGGGCTGAAACTTCTCTTTACTTCGTATTTTTTAGATGGTAACATTGGTAACCCAATGGTTAATCCATCAATATTTGATGATTTTTTGTTATTAGAATTAATCTGATGAGGCCGACATTATTATTGGTACAGTAATGCCGGGCAAGGGCTATTTTCACTTGAAAACATATTGCTATCTATAATTTCAAGTGAAAATCGTTGTCACTGCTGCCTGACAACAGGCTGTTCGAAGTATGTATCGAACCCGGGCCTCTGAAACAAGTCGCGTCTATCTATATGTTAAAATTTTGATTTTGTTTCAATGTGAACTCACAGTCTGACGCATGTAGTCTTGTTAAAAATATTCACTCGTGTAGCTGAAGATCAACTACTGAACAGAATATATTTTTGGAGTTATACTTCTAATTCAACATTCAAAAGGTTGCCTTAAAAGTCATGTTTTCCATAAACCATAATCGATGGTATTTTGCTTATTAAAGTGATATTTCTAATGAGACTTAAATACAACCAGTGAAGTAACTATGAGGTGGCAGATTTTAATCGACATCGATTATTTTACTTTATTGCGATTAAATTCAGAGTGATAATTTGTTTTAAAAGAACTCTCGTAAAAGAGAGTAGGCCTATGTTTAATAGTCGGACATATATGCAGTATAATTGAGTACGTTAAAAATCTCCAAGTTTATTGAAATTAAATCTAGAACAACTTGAGGGTTTTCGCTGATAGGGCCATTGCCAGCAACCATGTTCGACATTTATTGCTACCAAAACAAAGAATAGAAAAACAAATATTTTTTTTGAATAATTGTTAATTTGACTAAAGTTATAGCGATAAAGTTTATGGCCTTAACGAATTAATTATAAAAATTCATTAAAATTTGGAATGAATAGATACGCTTTTAGGACATACACCGTATATCATAAGCATTTTTGTGCAGTTGATTAGATATAAGTGTTTACGGAGGAACATCCTTATGGAGTATTATTATTTCCAAATATTGGGAAGTTCATGCAACATGTTTGAAGACAAAATGCAACGTACAATTAGTATTGATATGGAAAGTATTGTAATACTATTATTTTATTGTTAAATTAGGCAACAGGGCGCTGCAGTAGTTTGGTATGGTTTAGTTACGTAATTGTATTAGGTAAACTAGTATTTCTCCAAAATAGGTATTTTGAAAATACCTGTTATGCCTCTAGTTTATTTTTTTGAATATTTTTTGATATATCTAGTCATAGAACTTTATCAATTTCAATTCTCATTTTCGACATCATCTGCAATTTTCGAAAATTAATATAGATTAAATAAAACATCTTATCGACAGTGACGCCCCATGAAAATGGCATTTGATTCAAGTAAATTATTTTCATTTATTTAAAAAATGAATAAATGAATCAATCAAACAATAATAAAAAAATAATATATTTGCAATAATAAAATGAATTGAATTCCGTTTATTTTATAAAAAAATGTATCTAATTCATCAGAGGTGTATAATACAAAGTACACAACATTGCGAGTTTTCTCCTCCACGATTCATGAAAGTTGTGTTAAATGATATTGTCACGCTGATGACACATCTCCAGCGCGAAAATAACAAATTCCGGTCTCCCATTATTTTATATATTATAGTTATTTGCTATTTTATGGAAGTATTTTAAATTATATTATTAATTTACTTTTCATTCAATCAACGACGAAATAACTACAAATGGTACAATAATTGTAAGTCCGAATCGAGAAATATGACGTCATAATTTTTTGTATAGTAAACTTTTTAAATGCCACTTTTTAAACTTTCTTATGATTTTTATTTTATTATATTTTAGTTTTTATTTGCCATATTACTCCTATAATCGGTGTTGTACCTTCTGGTGTAATTACATAACATTGCTCGTATATTAAAATTTTTTTCTATTTATAAATTTAATAGCAATTCTATAAGTATTCTATAAGCTTTTGCGATCTACTTGAACTCAAAATGTAAAAAAAAATGCCATCTGGCGGTCAAAAATGATCATTAGACATATGCGCATCAAATTATCAGATATTGTATAGAGATTTTAACAATAAGTATAAATTTTGTTTACATTCCTATGGGTTCCGTACCAATGCTTATCCGTTTACGGGCGGCGCGGCGCTTACGCGCTTCGATATTTCGTCTCTATGCATTTAAAGCAGTACGATTGCTTTGAAAAAAAGTTCAGAATTTCCAAAATACATATTTCAAAATACACTTTTCTTCAAAAAGTATTTTTTTCAAAAAAAGTAAATTTTTGTCAAAAATTTATAGTTTCTCAAAAATCTAATTTTTCAGAGCAATTTTTTTCAAAAATGTTAATCTTTTTTTGCCTTAAGGCACGATGCCATGCGCTCCACTAGTTAGTATTATAATTTATAATCGTAGTAGTAATGAACATGAACTAGTAATCTCTAGTCTGGATTCGAGTTTCAGAGGAAATCTTGTGATTCATGTTTTTTGTTTTTTTGACATTTAAAAAATAGCACGATTTTTACTAATGAATTTTGCTCATAATCAGTTTAATTACTGACTCTGAACGAAATGCACTAGTTAAAAATTGTGTTATTTTTAGTTTTTATTTTCTACCCGTTTTTTTTATGAAACTATAGAGTTTCAACAAACTTAGTACATTATTCTTAGAGGAGGGTCTCTAGAAGTCGAACGAACAGTCTTAATTATAGAAAACTTGGGGCACTTGTGTCATTAGTTTTGACTGTGGTTCTAAAAATGTTACTTATGATTTCGAAAGTAAAAATACAAAGCCTAAATGATCAATCAATTAATAAAACGTAACTACAATAATCGAAAAATGGTTTTCTGATGCTCTGGGTACATAAAAAACAGCATCTAGTTTTCAAACTAAACGGAATAAACTTTTTTCCAATTTTTTTCAAGATGGTTCCAATCAATACTATTACCTGTTTCGGCTTGACGTTGAGTTGTGGGACACCTTGCACCTGCATATATACAAATATATATAAATATATATATATATATATATATATATATATATATATATATATACAATAAGTATATATAATAAATATACTAGATGACCCGACAGACGTTGTCCTGTACAATTTGCCTACAATTTTTTAATATCCTATAGTATAGCATAGGACCTATACTAATATTTATCATTTACCTAAAAATAATTGTTTTTTAAATTAGTCTTTACATCAAAATGCATATACATCAATACGAGCGATGTTAAATGCAGAACTGAATTTAAATAAAATGATGAGTCTCAATTCCTACACTATATTGGAAATTGAAGTCTTTTAAATGGTTTAAAAATTATTATATAGTATCCGCGGTAAAAGTACAGTATTACTTTGGATTTTTTCACCCAAAATATTAAAACTGGTTTTTAGTAATTATAATATCTAAATTACATTTATCTTAGTAATATATTAATATACATTATTACCAGGGACGCTCCTGGGGTCCTCAGCGCCCGCATGCCTTTTTGTTTTCCAGATGACAGTTTTCATTTATTTTCAATGCCAAACAATGCCTGACATATTTTCAATGTCAATGACATGTCGTTTTTTGCAATTTTTTCAATTTATTTCTACAATATTAGTACTATATTTTTATAATCACATACACTCTAAAAAATTCCCTTAACAAACTTCAGAAAGATTTATCAGAATTCGAATAATCTTATAAGAGGAGTTTATTTACATTACAGTAGAATTTTATATAAAAGATAATATATATATATATATATATATATATATATATTATATGTATATATATATCAATATTTATGCTAGCAAAAATCAACATAACTTTCAAAAAATTACAGATCGTTTTCATTTTTCGCATTTACTTTTGTGTGAAAATTTTCTTTATCGCTCACTTTTATATATATATATATATATATATATATATATATATATATATCTGTAGCATTCACCCAGACTTTTGAATCCGCACACAATCTTACGTGTGCATATGTATACTTAACAAATAGTGGGTAAAATTGGGGCCAATATGTGATTAGTATATATATTATAATTGGACTTTGTATGTATGTATAAGTAATATATATAAATATAAGAATTTTGTGAAAATATTTTCAGTTTGACTCGAAATAACAATTAGATTACAATGTTTTATATTTTTGGTACAATTTCATCTTTAATGGAATTTCACTTTGACCTATAATTTGGACTTGTTAAAAGTGAAACTTAACAATTCTTAAAAATAATCATTTACTTAAGAGCTAAAAATAATTATAATTTGAAAACCAATATAAAACATCGCCTTGTATGAAAAAGTGTTCATTTAGTTTTTACGTTTTATCGTTCCTTTCTATGTTACTGAAGTGAAGTGAAAACAAAAATTTTCTTTGAAAATAATACTGTAAAAATATATGAAAGTTACATATTTGTAAAACATTATGAAACAAATTCTGATAATTCTGTGTTGGGCGACTTTATCAATAGCACAGGATCTTACATTGGACAATATAAATGAACTGATATCACCTTTAGATGATGATGATGATGCGAGAAGAAGGAAGCACCACTTATGTAAGTTGAAAATTATAATAATAAAAATATAGTTATGCATTTTTAAAAAATAATTTTCTGTTTATTGATTTAATAAGAGCAATTGCACGTTTTATATGAAAAAAAAAAGATTAAAGATTAAAGAAAAGAACTTTTATTTAATACCGTTATGTGGGCTTTGCTACAGTTAAATAAAGAAAACTGTTCTTTTATAATTTTTATTTATTAATTGTTTACTTGTGTTTTGAACTGAACTTGAAAATGCCATATAGATTTTTAATGTTTCTCAAATATCATGGGAATATGATGGATATCAACAGCGTGGTGATGTTTGTTTTCATTTTTCAATAAATTTGCTAACGGTATACTTCGTACCGTTTAAGTTCGTAAAACTTTAAATAATCTATTAAATTATTTCATAACAAATGCAAATGAGAATTGATTTTCACATACACATACACACACACATATATATATATATATATATTTATATATATATATATATATATATGTATATATATATATATATATATATATATTAAATTTTATTGTATAGATTTAATAGTATAGATTACTATATATAATTATAACAAAATATTAACCACTTCTTATTCTTATTATTTGCAGTGTTTGGAGGTCTGAAAGGTCTTAGCAAATTTCTTTCAATAAAGCTAAAAGTGCTTTTAGCATTAGCATCAATAGCTATAATTGTCGTGGTAGTAATTAAAGGACTGGGTGCGTTCAAATTGCTTGGATTGGGTTCCTGTCCGGAACCAGTTATATTGACACACGAAACTCCAACTTTTTATAGGTAAGTGGTCACTACGGGTAAAATTTCTATAAATACCTAATCAATAAATAAACGCTCTTGCTGCTTCATTTGAATTCATTTTTACGCAATTTGTATCAAAATATATCAAAGACCTTAACTAATATTTATGTGATACATGATTACAGATTTTTAATAGTTTAAATTACTTCATATATCATTATTTCTATAGTATTTTAATTTTTTAAATTGAGAATTGAATGAGTAAAATGATAATCGAGAACTGCCACGAAATTCTTTATACGCAAAATGTAACATTTTCTTGTTGAAAGATGCACTAATAAATTTTGATGCAGCAACAATAATTAATCACGCAATATATATATATATATATATATATATATATATATGTATATTTATGTATATATATTAGGGTGATCTTTAAAATGGTCATTTTCGAATTTCCTTGCTCCCAGGGGCTCAAATGGAACCATTAGAGCGCAATTCAATCAAAGTTTTGTATGGAAATAGCATGGAAAAATTTTCAAAAATTTTAAAAATGTTTTTTTGATATAATTTAGCGAACAAATGAATGAATAAAGCTCATTCATTTGTCGCTAAGTTATATCTAAAACATTTTTTTTAATTTTCAAAATTTTTTCCATGCTTTTTCCATACAAAGTTTGAATTGCGCTCTATCTAAACGTTAATATTAAGAGCTAAAACTTTCAGAGAATTGTTTTTTATCAATTTGGAACCGTTTGAGCCCCTGGGAGCAAGGAAATTCGAAAATGACCATTTTAAGGACCACCCTAATATATATATTTCTTTATGATATAAATAGACAAGTTACATTTACAAAGACGGCATAAAAATACTACATATAAATATTTTAACCCAAATGAATCATAAATAGTTATAAATCCAAATAAATTAAAAATTATAACTAGAAATTTTGCTCTATATTCGATATAATTTGATCAATTCAAAATTGCTACGAAAGTTTTGTGTAACTGCATTATTGGTTTTATTTTTATTATCTTTTCTTAATGTGATGGCACGGTTTCGAATTATCTTTTGCCATAAATGCAAAATGATTTGTGAAACAAGAATATAGCTAAAATAATAGTAATTGGATGATATATATCTGGGTGTATTTGTAGTGTAGAATTTTTGTACACTAATAATTGTTGACCAATCATTGTTGTGTTGTTACATTTGCAAAAGCTGGCAAAGCAAAGACCAAAGTGGATACAAAAGTTATTCGTTTTTTCTGTAATACTTTCTATTTAATTGTAATTTCTGCCGCAATAAAATTGTGGAATATAAACAGAAAATGTATCTAAATTCCTCGAGTGAATAATTATTAATCATTTCCTTTTATTTTATTTTCAGCAGTGAGCCCCATCACCATCATGAACACCATGAGCATTTTTCGCCTGAATCCTATTCCGGCCCTGTTTACACTGAATACCCGTCAGAAGGTGGGCCCTACCCAGCTGCAGTAAAGCGAACCCAGAATTTTGATATGAGTGGTGGAAGACAAATGCCAATACGGTGAGACTACATATCTTCTTATTGTTAGTTGATTTTTTTTGCCTATGCTGATTAAACTTTGTGTGATAATAAAATACATAAAATTTCACATACAACGGAAAGTTTTAGCAACCTAACTACCGTAGGGTAGTTATAGTAATTGGCCAAAAATCGAAAACGAAATTTTTTGCATTTCTCGTCGATTTGAAGGTTTCTGAACAATTTGGTTTCAGATACCCCAGAAAAAATGGATGTGTGTGTATGTGTGTTTTGTATGTCCCCATTTTTTTGTCCACGTTTTCGAGCGCACGGATCAACCAATTTGAATGGTTCAAAAAACATTCGATTCCTATTGATAGGGAAATATGCTCATTAGTTTTTGGCAAAGGCAGGTCCAACCGTTACGGAGATGCGGAGCAAAGAGTGCAGAAAATACAAATCGAGTTTTTGAGAGAACGGAGTATCCGATTTGGATTATCTTAAAAACATTCAATATGTAATGATTGGGAGAAGAGGTGATTAGTTTTTGGCAAAGACAGACATTTCAGAGATACAGAGATAAATGGACAAAAAATGGCAATTTTTGGAGAGAACTAAGCGTCCGATTTGAATGATTCAAAGAACTTTCTGCTTGTTTCAACAAAATAATTGCTTTTGGAAAAAATAATTGTTTTTTGTATATTGAAAATAATTCAGATTATAATTTTAATTCTGACTAAAGTTCTAACATACTTTAAACAAATAATTTCAACGTTGCAATTCAGTTTATATGTCTCTTATAAATATTAGACAATGTTACAATATTTATAATAATCTATTTGAAAACATTTAATATTTGTCGAATATTTCGTTACGGTACGGAAATTTCCAGCAATTTTCCTTAAGGCGCGATGCCATACACCGCTAGTTAATTTTTAATTACTAACCATGGTCTAAAATATGAATTTGCATAAAAAATGTTGATAGGAGTCTGTGTTTAGGAGAACAAGAGAATTTTTCTGGAGAACTGTTCGACCAATTTAAATAACTCAACACATATTCGATTTACATCGAATAAGTAGTCTCACACTTCATCCTTTTTTAAATATAATCAATATTTTCAAAATGTCAATATTTTCAATAAATCCAAATTTTAAAAGCTCCAAATTTGTTAAACAATGTAATTTAATTGAAATGTTTTATTGTCATGATCTGTTTGAACGGTTCATATTATTTTTTTGTAGATTTAATATAATTAATAATATAATTCATATATAAAAAATACGTCAAAGCAACTTCTTAATTCTGGGTCATTTAACTATAAAAATTTCAATATATTTACAGAGTGGATATAGAAGATTTAGCATTCCGGGTCCTTGGTGTACACAGTGATGTCTGCAGAAGACGATTTGTTTGTGAGATGGACGAAAAAACGAACGCCAGCAGCTTCTTACAATTTATGTTCAAGATGATCAGGTAAAAATCAAACAATTTTTTCCTGAAAAAATCCTGAAATTAACATTCATGTCGATTAAATTAAAATAGAAAATATTAATTGTCATTACTGAAAATCTATGTAAAAGATTTTCAATTTATATTAAAGTTATAAGCTTCATTTTATAATATTCACAAATTCGGCTGACAACTTTATTTTGAGAGAAATGTGTTCTAATTGGCCTGATACAGTTATAATTAGCATTACCATAAAAATATATTTATCAGTTATTCAACAGAATTTTAGTGCTGAATGTCATTTTCTACCAAATTTAACCAAGGTTTGCTGAAATTCTTTTCAAAATTCTAATGACATCAACAATGATTTTATCATCGATAACCCCTAATGATTTTCATTATTTTCTATACTATCTATTTGTATCATTATTTTCATTCGGATAAAATATTAACTACACAACCAATCTATTAATTAATCAATAGATGTTAATTAATAGTTAATAAAAATATAATATAAAAATTCAAGACTAGTATCCGTCAATATCGGATGAAAAATCTGGGTTTATTTTATAAGTTTGAAATTTATTACATTTGAATTCTTTATTTTAACATAAGCAGATATTACATACGGTTCTGTTTCTACACTGTATTAAACAAAAAACATAATAAATTCAATAAAATATTTTACATCTAAAAGTGCGAATTACAGACCTACGAAAAGTTCTTTAAATAAAAAAGTTGATGTCTGGAATTAGTACTTTTAGTACCGGTACTGTATAAGTATATTCAGTTCTTTGTTATGTACTGATCACCGTTGGCGTCCATACTTAAATATAATGAATATTTAGAATACAAATTAGAATCAAATATAAAATTATTAAATTGCATTATTAAAATTACATATACTATAAGTTTGTTTAAAATGTATCAATTCTAAATAGCATTGATTAGGTTTTAGTGAAAACTAAAAAAAATAATTTGAAATAAGCATTTTCAATTATATATATTGGGGGAAGTAAATGCAAGGAAATTGCTACTCACAACTATTTATTTTATAATCCATAGCCTCGAAGTATTATAAACAACTTGAAATTTTAGAACATATTGCTTTTTCTTTAAAAACTTTTAATTTAAATATAAAATCACATGACTAGTGTATTCGTCAATCACAGATAAGTACTTAATATTTTACTAATCAAAATGTTAGAATTATGCTAATTGAACTCTGTAAAACTGTCTTACAAAAATGTCACAAAATAATCTACTTTTTTGCTAATATTACTTTTTAAAATTTAAATATAAATACAGTTTTTAAAGAAATATCGTTCAACCATAAGATGGATACTATTCTTAAATGTTCGTGGTTAAAAAATTATGAAAAATCTTCACATGATATTTTTTTATATGAAAGTTTTTCAACTAACAATAAGCAAAAGCAAGTTACGGAAGACTAAACGATCAACATGAAAATTATAATATTTTGCATATGTTCACCATAATTTTCCTTATTTTTTCAGTAAAGGAATGTTTGATAGATATCGTGACAAAAATAACAAACCCAAGGATTATGAAGATTGTCGAAGATTATATTCAAAATGTATGGGAGATAATGTTTTTACATACGAAACGGGAAATTCAACGACTACATACGAACACAATGTCAACAAAGTTGATACAGAGATTGAGAATGATATTATGCAAAATCAAAATACAACCACTGCTAAGTAATATAAGTATCGACTGACTATAATTAGTGTGAATACTACTACTAATACACTACACTTAACCTCTTAACTTAAAATGACGAGCATAGCCCGCGTGCGATTGCTAGGCCAAAAGTGAATATTACGGGCATAGCCCACGTACGATATTCGGGCCAGGAGCAAATATTACGCATTTCGGGCATGGGCCGGTATGGTGAACGCACGTACTATAAAATATTTATTCATACGAAGCTATAAAACACAAAATTATTTCTATTTTTGTGATAAATCGTACGCTTTGAGGGAAAATGGTCACAAACGCCGCGTCAGCCTGAACAACTTTGGGCCGACATTTTCGAATCTAAATTGTTAGTTAAGGGGTTAACTAATCACCATATTGCAATGAAAATGTAATTAATGGTTAAGAAATCTACATTTTCAAAATGCTCGTTTTAGAATAAAGCGTTTTTATTTTAATATTATATTCAGTACTAATTATTTTTAGAAACTTCCCAACTAGTCACTATTCAAATTTAGTCGCTTACGGCAATAAATCACAATATTATAATCTATCGGCGAAAATAATCTTCATTTATAAAGAAAGTTCGCAATTTTTTTTCTAAAATCTAAATTACAATAGCACATTTGAATTCTAATATCAAAGGTTACCAGGACTTTCTAAAAAAAGCTCTTAGTTTGTTTTAAGGCACAATTTTTTTTTTGATAAAATATCTGAATATGTTTAAATATCTAGATATAAATTATTTCTGGAAGTTTTTGAATCAAGTTTAGAATCACTAATGGAAGCATTAATATGTATGTTTGAGCGTGCGTATCTGATTAAGGAACAATTTTTGTTATTGAAATTGAACAAAATATCTTTATTATTAAAATTGATCTGTTATTGAAATTAACATATTTATCAGAATGTGACAGATGGCTTACTTATACAAATTGGTTTTATTTATTTCGATTTCATTCAAATTTGAAGCCATGAAAGTGAAAGGCATGTTTAATTAATTTAATCTTCTAAATGAAAATTTATACTTTTTGATAAAAAATGAGTTTAATAATCATGGTTTAAATTAATTGTCTTTTCTTTCTTACTTTATTTTTATGGTAGAATGTAATAGTTATTTTAAATTTGTAAGTATTTATGTTTAGATGTATTTATATTTATTTGTAAATTTATTTATTTTATTATATTATTTATTCAATATAACTATAACAAATAAAAAAAAACATTGTATTTATAGTAATTATTTAAATAATCGAGAGCAACCTAGTTTTCATTTTTTAATTAGAAAATTTTGTCAATTATTTAAGAGAATTTTATTTTTATAAGATAATTTAAACTTACAATCGAAAATAAGCTTTTGATTTATAAAATTATGATAATTTCTACATGTATATGTAGACACAAATGTTCCAAAAATTATAAAGCAAAAGAAAATAATTATAATTGTAGCATAATCATTTGCACCGTACGTAATTATTTATTTCAAATAGTGATATTTTCAATTATAATAATAATATTAATTAATATATAATTGTTAATTTTGATTAAAGAAACGTATAGGCAAATTTTACTGAACTTATGAAATAACTTTCTTTAAGTTTCATGTCTTTAATAAAAGCTATTGTCAATAAAAATGATTTACTAATTTTGCTGAATTTAGTTAAAACAATTGATTTTTTTTATTACATTTTTTCAAATTTTTTTTGAAAAATGTCAATATTCAAAAATTTAGGATTTTTTTTGCCGAGTGAAGAAAATATAAGTAAAGAGGACCTTATATGACCTAATATTTTTATGCAGAATTTTATATTTTTAAAAATATCGTTTTTATTTAATTGATATACTTTTTATGCTGTAAACGCACTATGAGGTGTATAACTATTTATTATTAAAAATTTACTATTAACATTTAATAGGAAATTATATTTCTATACTTTAATATATATTAACCCTAGTAGAAATGTATCGTGGCTAGAGGGGTAAAATATCGTGGCGCAATATTCGAATCTTGTCTTTAGATGGACCGGGCAATATTTGTTTTCAAAATTATGGAAAATTTGGAAAATTCATCGGAAAAGTGTTTTATATGGTTTATTACAAATAATAAACATGTTTACCATCTGATTTACGCCTCTAATTTTATATTTACACGAATTATACATGATTTTTAAATGTGGGTTTCATGCATTTTTTTTCTGGGCGACCAAGATTCGTGTTTTCAGTATTATCGAACTTGGGAAATACATGGTATTTATAAGGGTCACGAAAAAAATTAACTTTAAATAATTAATTAGCCCCCAAATCATGATTAAGGCTTTTAAAAAGTCATATGTTCGATCGCAATTAATAGTTTGATACATTTTTCTTATAAATTCAATATAAATTTTAAACGTGGGTTTTATGCATTTTTTTCTGGGCGACCAAAATTTGTTTCTCCAGTATTATCGAACTTGGGAAATACATGGTATTTATAAGGGTCACGAAAAAAATTAACTTTAAATAATTAATTAGCACCAAAATCATGATTAAAGCTTTTAAAAAGTCATATGTTCGATCGCAATTAATAGTTTGATACATTTTTCTTATAAATTCAATATAAATTTTAAACGTGGGTTTTATGCATTTTTTTTCTGGGCGTCCAAGATTTGTTTCTCCAGTATTATCGAACTTGGGAAATACATGGTATTTATAAGGGTCACGAAAAAATTAACTTTAAATAATTAATTAGCACCAAAATCATGATTAAAGCTTTTAAAAAGTCATATGCTCGATCGCAATTAATAGTTTGATACATATTTCTTTTAAATTCAATATAAATTTTAAATGTGGGGGTTATGCATTTTTTTTTTGGGCAACCACGATTCGTTTCTTTAGTATTATCGAACATGGAAAATACATGGTATTTATAAGGGTCACGAAAAAAATTAACTTTAAATAATTAATTAGCACCAAAATCATGATTAAAGCTTTTAAAAAGTCATATGTTCGATCGCAATTAATAGTTTGATACATATTTCTTTTAAATTCAATATAAATTTTAAATGTGGGGGTTATGCATTTTTTTTCTGGGCAACCACGATTCGTTTCTTTAGTATTATCGAACATGGGAAATACATGGTATTTATAAGGGTCACGAAAAAAATTAACTTTAAATAATTAATTAGCACCAAAATCATGATTAAAGCTTTTAAAAAGTCATATGCTCGATCGCAATTAATAGTTTGATACATATTTCTTTTAAATTCAATATAAATTTTAAATGTGGGGGTTATGCATTTTTTTTTTCTGGGCAACCACGATTCGTTTCTTTAGTATTATCGAACTTGGGAAATATGTGGTCTTTATAAGGGTTACGAAAAAAATTAATTTTAAATAATTGATTAGCACTGAAAACACGATTATAGCTTTTAAAAGGTCATATGCTCGACATTCACATTAATGCCTTTGTGTAAGTGTCAATATTAAAACCAATTTGGGCTCCATATAATATATTGATAAACAATATTTAAATCCCATTCAAAACTAATATAAGCTCAATATTGAAAATCAATATATGATTAATATAAATAAACAATATTTACTTCAAATTCAAAATTATTATTTAACCCACATTTAAAAATATTATTTAATTCATATAAAAAACAGAATTTAACTCATTGATAATATCTTAGCTAATACATAGCTAATCATTGATCCGCTCGATCGTAATTAACAGTTTGATATAAATTTTATATGAATTCAATATAAATTGTAAATATTATATTCACATTTATTTTTTCTTTATTATCGAACTTGGGAAATAAGTAACATTTACATTGGTCAAGAAAATAATCAATTTTAAATCATCAATTAGCACCAAAAACATCAATGGCGACTCCTAAAAAACACATTTTTGATCAGAATTAATTAATTAAAGCTAAAATAATTAAATCCATTATTAAACGTGAAGATATACAAAAATCTTCATTTTCGATTTTCGTCTCATTACTATAAATACCCTAGGGGAAGTTAAAAAAGCAATAAATAATTTAACTATATTGTATTTATTTATTAACTATATTATTTAACGACATTGTAAGTATGTCATCATTCAGTAAACAAAACAAAAATAAAATTATACAAGATTATAGTAGTACAAAAGTACCAGAATAATTAACAAACTTAAATAATGTCAGTACGTACCGCACTGAGAAAGAAAAATTAAACAAAATGTTTGATAAAAAAAAAAATCAAAACTTCGAATAAAATAAATGTTAAATAATGAAATTTTGTAGTTAGTCACATGACTTGCTTAAATTTGTTTTTTTTCTAGTTTGGTATGTATTAATATTATTTAAATCTGTTATCATCTGTTAAATCTGTTAATATATCGATTTATATTTATAAATATAGACGTTTTAAAAATATTCTGAAATTGCACTATGTACATGTATATGGTTTATGTATGAACATCTGGTTTTTGAGAATGTCTCTTCTTTCTTTCATATAACCGATATTTGTATAAGGCTATCTCACTTCGTGTACGGTCCTTCGTACGAATCGTTGTCCTTCGTCCTCGGTGTTTCTAGACGACTACCTAACTATATGTCAGTTGTGGTCAAAATTATTTTATACGTATTTTATGAACTAATATTATATCATTGCACTTTTGTTTTAATTATTTATTCTTACATTTTTAATAGCAATTATTATTTATATTACTATACTAGTTTATTATTTACATTAATGTTATTTAAGAGTAAAAGTTTAATTAAAAAATTATTTAAAGGCAAAAGAAGTCTTCTTTAAATTTATTACTGTGTACATAGTAAATAATGTGATTATAAAAAATGCTTGTTGGTTAGTTCTTGAAGAAGGAAAGAATCCATAAGCCCATAACGTAGGATAAAATAAGTGAAATATTATTATGTTTTGTGAAGATAAAATTTATTTACTATAACTCAGCAAAAAAAAATTAATAATAAATATAAACATTAAAAAATTTCTAAATGTAAACATATTTGATATAATGATAATTAATAGCAATTTTATTAATTTTGTTTTGAATATTTTCTAAGTAACGTTTCACTGATTATGCAATTTACTAACTC